ACAGTTGTTTGTCACCTAGGGTGAACAGCTGCAGTGTCTGCGCTCACTTCAACTTTTTTCCTCCCTTTTTTTTTTTTTTTTTTTTTTGTCTCGCCGTCTCTTCCGCTTTTAAACACATTCCATCCATGGCCAGGTATTCTCTCGATAACAGCAACAAGATTATCCAGCATTTTTACACTGTATGTTCTGTACTTTTCTTTCAATTTGCTTTCTGAAGAGAGAGTTTTTGCCTGAACATGTTCTTGTTTATAAGCATTGCTTGCATCTCACAAACTGCCTTATAGGCTTTCAGCGAAGTGGCCTTATCTAGTGTATACAGAATCTGCTGGCAGGATTCTTTGGCAAACTGATAAAGCAGCAAAAGTATGAAATGAGGACAAAGAATTCAAGCCTGTATTCAAGACTGAATTCAAGACTGATACGTCGCTCTCATCCAGGAGGCAGCTGCCTGCATTAGCATTAAAATGTCATGTTTCCAACTCAAGTTGTTTTTTCATCGTTATTTTCTGCTGGTTAATACCATTATTAATGGATTACAGTTGAATCCCTTTTTAAGAGGCATGCTCTGGGCATCAATTGTTGTCTTTTATATGAGATATCTCCTAATAGCAGGGTACCTCGTATGCATTTTTGAATCAACCAGTATGTTACTGGGGGCACACGGGTATATCCGACACCCATTTGTCTCTTATATCGGTGTCTCTTATAAAGGGGTTCGAATAGATAGTTCACTGCACTGCTGGCTTGGGTTCAGTTTGTAGGGGTTAGATCATAATTATTTTTGTGCAGTTACGTGTCAAAGCAGCTTGGTGATGCTGAAGCTATGTAGAATCATGAAAGAAAGCTCCAGCAATGAAATGTTTCCTCTCACATGAAAGCAGCTTTATGATATAAATTAATAAATTAATCTCATGTGAGTTTTTTTGGCTTGTCATAAAGCTCTGATGCCATAAAAATATCCCCCCCCCCCCCCCCCGTATTTACTAGCTGTCTCATTGTTTTTTTGTGTGTGTGTTTTGTTTTATATTCTGTTGATACGTTCAGGCCAAAGCTCTCTCGTCTGTCGTTAATGTCTCAGTAAACATAAAAGGCAGAGAAAACTCACCATAAAGTCAACTTTGTAAAGAATTTTGGCTCTCTTTCTTATTTCTTGATTTCACCGGCCAATCCTACCGTCAGTCGTCTTTATGAAATGTCTACAATTAACTGCTGCAATGTTACTTGTTGCCGGGCAACATACATATACACGTTAGCCCCAAGTTCACACCTGACATACAAGAAAGTCTTCAAGCACTGCTTCTTGTCTGCTGACTTCTGTTTGGTGGATGTACTGTACATGGTCACTAGCGTGTCTTTGCTTCATTACAACTCTTCCGGCGTGTCGTGGCAGACCTTAATTAGAAACTGGATGTGACACTGTTTCCAGTTGCTGTAAAAAGTTGCAGCAATTGAGTTTCAGTGCGGGTGTATGTTGTCCGTGGCCAATTCAGGGTGAAGTGTCCGATCAGAAATGGAGTACTCTCATAATAGTAAGCAGGTTATTCATTATTCATTCATAATAATAAATAATTGCAGTAACTATCAGCAGTGGTAAGCCATAGCACGGAGGGGAAGAACTGAATGTAACATCCGGTTACAATGTAACATCCGGTTACATTGTGCCTTAAGGTTGCTTCAATACACATCTCCAAAAGTGTGATTTCACATGTAACTTGATGCAGTGGTTCTTAAAGTACTCTTTAGCGAACAATGTCACTATCTCAAATTAGACTCTGTTAGCACTGCTGAATAATTTTGCATAATCTCAAGGGAAGTTGCTTCCAAACAGAGCAAACGTGTTTTCAGACTTGTTGGGAGGTTCACAGTAATTTAAAACTTGTAGAAATGCTTAACACTAGAGTGACGAGGGATATGTCTCACAGAAGTCAGCTCTTTAAAGCTCGTTTTTGTCAGAGGTTGTCGTAGTTTGACTTGTCATCGTCAGGGCAACAACTGTGCCAGTACAGTTGTAAGCAGAAATGTTATAATTAAAAGGAGTCCACCTGTAGGCCTTCAGTCAGACGCTTTCCTTGCTGGGATGTCCGTAGTAACAAAGGGGTTATGGTGCTTCGTTCCTGTCCCAAAATGCGTTGGTTCAATCCGAGTCGCAACTCAATGGGCACTAAATGCCAGATGCCCATGTGCTGTGCGATGTCAGTGCATGTTATAAAACCCCAGGTGGTCTGGCTTACCGGGAGCCTTTCACTATGGTGGCTGTCCTAGTCGGAGTCACTGCAGTACGTTAGACCCATTAAATCAATCGCCCAACTTTTCCCTGCTAATCTAATGTCGATTGCAGGTGGTGCGTTCTGCTTTCACAACTATTACTAGTGCAGCTGTAGTAATCACTTACATTTACTGTTAATGCCATGGGGAACCAAATTTTGCAAATCTCTTTTAAATCCAACACAGACCTTCACAGCGATTGACATGCTGTATTTTTCAGCATCAGACTGGTACGCTAGGTTTGCCACGTCACACTCGGGCAGAGTACGTGCACGTCCACTCTTCAGAAAATGGTCTTTCTTTTCTCTCTCTCTTTCTATGCCTTACCGTTCTTTTTCATCGTTCTTTGTCTCTCATGTGTATATTGTACTCGGCAGGCATGTGATAACAGCTGTTTTTGTACATAGCCTCTAAGTGCTCTTCGTTGTCTGCTGTGCAGCTGACCTTTTTTCTTTTGTGGTTGCATTGGTGAGGTGATGTGCTCTTGTATTTTCTGGCCACTGACTGTACACTGAGCTTTACATATTATCTACTTTCCTTCAGTGAAACACATCCTGTGTTGCATTCGTTTCTCCTCTGTCTTGTTGCTCTGTACTCTTACCTGCATTTTCATAGTGCCGTCTTTCTTGCCAACGTCATTCCTTTGCAGATTCCGACCTCTGAATTTCTCTCCTACTCCCATTTCATTTATGACAACAAAAAAGGAACGCTTGTTCTTTTTTATGTACTTCATCTCACATTTTTCTAACCTCTTTGTGCAGTGATCATCAGTGTGCTTGTTCAATCATCACTTATCCCAGTGAACATTTCATGTCTTTCTCAGAACGTTACAGTTCGTCTTATTGTTAACGTCATTGTTGGCATAGTGTGCTTGCAGACCTGTGTAGTTTGGGTGGGATAATTTTTGAACAGTAAGCTTTCTTACACAAATCACAAGTTGGTATATTTAAATTTAACCTAATTAGAAGTTAGTGCATTGCCACTTGCACATAATTAGCGTAATAACATCAAGGAGTTCCTCCACACGCATGCATGCACATCAGTGTGTGCATCTGGGAACATTACAGTGAAATCTTTCAAATAACAAGTGATGTGATACTTATGGTAAGCCTTTTTCTTTTTAATTTGTCAAACGCGAGTTGATGTTGGACAGAAGCAGTCTTTGGTATGCTTTCATGTTTACCAGGAGGCTTTGTTTTATAACATCTGTACCAAACAATCTTTGTCTTTTGTGGAAATTCATGAAGCTGTGACTTACAAACTTGAGCATTATGTTATCTGATTCTTTAAACCCTGCTCAAGACAACAAAGTGCTGTTAAACCTAGATGTAACAAAGTTAAATTTAAAGCCACTTTTATAAGGTTGTGTCTAATAAACAAAATGAGCCCTTAAACTACTCCTTTTCCTTCATTCATTAAAAGACAGTATTTCAGTTTGGGTAACTTTATGTTTATAGAGCACTGCATATCTTTAAGCTCAGTATAACAAATTGTGTTTATCCACAATTTTAATGTAGGGAAATTTCACTGCAGTCACAGAGAAATACCTAGGCAATAAGTTGCAGCTTCTGCTGGTGCCAGTGGTGGTATGATTAACTTGCACGTCGTTTTTGCAAGCACATTTTTCAAATCATGGACTACGCAGCAGAGAGCAACAACTGCCATAACTCAGCGTTGATGCCAGCTATGATAGATAATGTTGACCATTTGTAATAACCTTAAGTGAACCATAGTTGCAGCCCGACTGTTGCTCCTTCTTCGTGTACTACTTGTGTTCTAGTTATTGCAAACCAAACTTAATTTCCAAAAGCCTCCTAATTTATTTTTGCTATCATTCGTAAAGTGAATCACCATGGCTGTGAGTATTCATCTTTTACTGCAGAAATGGCTTTTCATTTTTGTTAGTCAATATAGGTTGCCTTCTTCTTGGTGTATTTTAAGGCTCAACCTTTACAAGGCAGAATGTCTGCTAGGCAACTCGCTGTCTTTCTGTGCTGTATGATCGAGTCATAATCTCTTCGGCGATGCCGAATTCTAACCCCTCATGTGTGCCCCTGCTAGTCACATATGAGGGTACAGAGTCTGCCCCATACATTGACTTAATAAAGGGGGTGGGGGCACTGCAATGAACCTTCTCTCTCCCTAACCCAAAGGGGAATCCTGCACATGCCTGGGCATATATATAAACGATTAACAACATAAATAGATAGTATTTGGTGCATGTCACAGAGTATCTGGAAGGGTGAAATTTTCGTCATTTCAACAGGTCATAGCGGGTTCTGTTGCATTCAAGTCACAAGGACACAGTGACAGGATGTGTCGTATGTCTACAAAACTGAAAGCCCAGGCGAACAGACAGGGTCGTTCAGACAGAAGCATTGAGCATGTTGTAATGAGCCACCTAGCTGTACTACAGGAACCAAACGCACCACGTTAGTTGCTTTCAGGAAGGTTAACTTTTGCAAATAATATGAGTAAAAAGAGGCAAGGCGTGGACACACCGGTCTTCCCGTTTTCCTGAGTTTCACGTAATTTGCACTGCAATACATAACGCACCCAAATTGTTGTTCTGATAGACTTTAGGAATTAAGGGCAGGGTGCTGATAACATGTCACTCAAGACATGCAGCTGACAATGCATTCTACGCCACTCTAAAAAGAAAAAGCTTTCGTCTACAAGTAAGGACTTGTTTGATAGCTTTGCTTTGCCGTCCTGCACCCTGGATGCCTATGCAGTTCCAGGAGAGCCGCGGACGGTTAAAGTGACAGCGCTGAACAGCACAGCACTGGCCGTCTCATGGAAGCCACCGTCCAACCGGGACCGAAACGGGCTTATCCGCGGCTACCAGATTCATGTGCAGGTAGGTAGTCACAGCCGCAATTTGTTTTTGAAAATCTCTGACACCAGCTTTGCCACAATATTTGATAATCAAAGCGGGCGTGGTATTGCCATGTGTGCCCTTATTTCTTTGTTTTAATGTGATCGGCTTTCACTCACAAATACTGTTAGCGTCCCTCAGTATGGGCCATTCTGCAATATTTGGGAAGCTTCACGATTGTTTCAGATCATTCTGATAAGATTATGGATGTTAATAGTCAGGTTTATTCGGGAGCTTACACAAGCACCAATGATAACACTGGACAGTTCAATCAGTGATGTATGAAAGACTTATACATTCAGCCAACGGTCAGATCACTCAACAGTTGTTGAACGCTTTCACTTTTATCAGGGTGCAGCTTATGTTGCTTGTACTTTGAATTGCAATTTTTCGGGCATAAGCTTACCCAACAAAGAGTTTTCATCTGTACCAGTCTGTGTTCTAAGTACTTCTCCATCACAACCACATGCCAATATGCTGACCAGGGCTCAAAATTTTTCTTTGACCATGCAAAAAACTGCCATATGCGCGCAGGAGATGAACCGTCACGGGGACCTCATCAACGAGCCTCTGCGATACGACGTTGCCGACGAGACTGCCGAAGAGTACAACGTGACGGGGCTACAGCCAGACACAGAGTACTCCGTCCAAGTGGCTGCCGTGACTCGCAAGGGCGACGGTTCGCGCAGCCGTCCCAAAATGGCCCGAACTCATGGTGGAGGTGAGAGGGAGCTGGTGCTACAATTCCGTGCAGCAACAATTTCGAAAATGCGAATTGACCTTAAAGGTGGAGCTCATGTTGCTACAGTAAAGGCCTATTAATTCAAAATCGCGGTTGATTCAAACTGACGCTCTTGTTCTGGCACAGCCCTGTGTGTTACAGACTGGGAGAACTCTCGATATTGCGACTGTGTTCATATCCGCAACGGTTAATTGAAACAGGAAGTCCCTAACAAGTCGACTCGGAGTGGTTAAAATACATAGTTAAACCAAACCAAATTTAGCAGAGATGCGAAATAGCAAAACGGAAAAGAAGGCAACATGCACTAGGCGGAGCTGGTGTGCTCCCACATTCCAGCTGTTTTCATGATGCATGCCTGCTCTCTCTTGCATGTGTCCAAAATAGCTGCATTGTGGTGCGATATCTGTTCATTCTAGCACCCGCCTGCTCATTGAAACTCTGCTTAATTCAAACAATTTTATGGTGCTCTTCAAGTTCAAACTAATGAGCTTTTCCTGTATCGGAGCCTATCTAAGCATGGCCGGTGTTCCAAGCGAAGATGGTGGCCTGAAGTGCTGAGAAATCTGTCCCTGGAGTCAAAGCTTTGACAGAAGAACTCCCCTTGCTAAGGTTTCGAAAAAGTCTTTTGAAATTTGGTGTCTGCAGCATAATTTTTTCAATGATGTCTCATCTGCTAGGTGTTACGTGACAGCCATTGGGGTAGTCCACCTTCTTCCATTTGCCTCAGAGACTTGCAGTTTGTCTTTCTTTAAACAAGATTGTTTATTATAGAGTACCTATAAGTTACGTCAGCTAGACCACTAACATACCGGGCTAACACTTTGAGTAATTGTCTTAAAGAGTCTCGAACATAATGAATTAGGACAATGTTCTCCTATTGACTCTCTGCATAACAAAATGGAACAGCATTTCTCAAATTTTTTGTCAGTAGTAATCATGTGTTTTAGCATGCGTCAATCTACAATCCTCGCTGCAGTGCCCACTCGCCCAGAGCTAACAGCCCGAATCCACACTGAGGACCAGCCCCTTCGTGTGGAGCTCCACTGGTCTCGGCCAAACCACACCTACGGGGAACTGCTCCAGTACAGGCTGCGCTACGGTCGCATGGATGGTGGCGCTCTGGAAGAACGCGAGATTGAGCCCATGGACCAGCACATCACCGTGGATAACCTCGGTACGAGACACTTGTCAAAGAATATTTGGTGCTAGCAACGTAAGCAACATTGCTGTTAAGTGCAGCCAGAAAAAAAATGCTCTGCGCACTTGTTAACTTTTTTTTTTTAATTTGAGACATTGTCGCACGACACTTTGTGACTGTACAGCATCTGAAACACAGATCTCTTCATCATTCCAGCACGAGGGGCGAGGTACGAGTTTCGCCTTTCTGGCAGGAACTTGCTTGGATGGGGTCAAGAAGCCATCACGTTTGTCAGCACACCAGAAGGAGGTACGGAGGTTCCTGCACCAATTCACGTCGTACTGTGTTTTTAATATTTCTCTTTGGCGGTCTTAGAAAATGAAACCTGACTTACACTTTGTCAGTAACATAAGCAAGTAGACAGAGGAACGGCCGCCGCTGTTGTATCTCAACTGACAGAACATCGGATGCACAATTTGAAGGTTGTGAGTCTGGTCCACATCAGCCGAAAGTTGCTTTAATGCTACACCATTAGAGCTCGTTTCGCGGAAATCTTAGCGTCAGCATCGCTCGTTGCAAGCAAAAAATCAGTGTTGTGCATGAGGGAAAATTCGCAAATAAATAAATCATAAAAATCTTCGCTTCAAGTGAGGATCCAACCCAGGCCTTTTGCTTGACAAGCAGCTATTCTACCACAGAGCCATGTCGTTGCTTGAAACTTCTTTGGACAAAACACTATGTAAATGTCACGTAGAAAGAGGAGTCTCTGCAGAAGCCTAAAGTCGAGCGAGATGTCAAAGCACTCAGACATATTTAATTATCAGCAGCAGCAGCAGCAATAAAGAGCATCAACAAAGTGAGCAGCTGTGTAGGTTTGCGTGGACCCTTCGCCGATTCCCAGAAGGATGAATTATGGCATGTTGGTTACTTCACAAGTGTACTTCGGGCATGCATTCCAGGATAGTTAGAGATGGCCAGTATTATGCGCCCAGACGTTTCTTTTTTGCGAAGTCAGGCTAGCGATGGAGAAGGCGATGCACGCCGGGCCCAATTACTCTATCGCATTCTACTCTTCAATGCTAAGGTCAAGCGTTCTCCAAGTTTTTTTCTTCCACTTTAATTGATTTCTTGCTTATATATAACTACCACACTTCAATTAAAAAAACTACAGACAATGCCCCCTAAGCTTTGCCTGTTTCATCAAGCCGTGTCTAGCAATTAAGAAACAGGCACTTGAATCAGTTCTCCATATTGCATTTTTCAAGTGGATGTATGAGCTTTCAGGTGAAGCTAAACAAAACATGGTGCTGAAAATTAATCAGGGACCTTTCACTAAAGTGCACATGCGCCTTAAAGCATAGTGCATTTGTTCCTTCGGCATTTGAAATCACTTTTCGGGTCACATGATCATAACAAACCTAGCGCAATAGTTGCAACATGCTGACTGCGTTACGACATTGTTAGTGTTGTCAATGAAGGCATGATGATAGCAGTATGCCAACGAGGACAATGGTTAGAGCAGTGGTTTCGTGAGTAAATGCTGTCACAAATGCTATCCTATAACGTACATTCTTAACATTTAAGATCAGTGGCATTTTGCTTTGTTTTTTCATCATTCATCTTCTTGGGTCATAGCACCAGCACTTTTTGGTTTGGTGACCGCCACCCTTTCGCAAGCCACAGACACCTGGAAGTGGCTGTATTAGCGCATGGCACGGTGATGTAACTGCATAGCTTATGTGGGTGCACTGCCCACTTTTCTTACAGAGCCCACGTCGCCCCCGCAAAATGTGACCTTCCGACTGCAAAGCCCCACCACCGTGGTGTTCACCTGGGAGCCTCCCATCCCCGTGCATCGCAATGGTCACATTACCCACTACAGCGTCCAGTTCCGGCGGCGGTCGTCAGACTTCAGCGCCGACGACCGCAACACCTCCCACACTCGGGTTGTGTTCAGGTGAGGCCACAAGTTGTGAGTCATTTAATCTGGTAGCTCTAATTGCTTTCATGACTTCAGTATTGCTGAATGTGCTGAAAGTGTGGAACGTGCACCATTAGCAGACATAGTTACAAATACAGCGGCTTCCTAACGAATGAAATTTGTTGATCAGATAACATAAAAGGTTGATACAAATATCATCAGATTGGCATTCTATTTGAGACAGACGAAAATCTCAGGCATTCTGTATAAAATAGGTATAGTCATAGTAGATGCATAAGTTCACTGTCAAATATTTAGGTCCTTTCGTGTCACGCTGTCGTCCCTAATTCTGACCTAAAATGCCAAAGCATTGTTGATTTGGAACCCTCTTACAAATATGTTTTAAGGGAAGGCGCAAGTGAAAAAACACAAGTTTTTTTTCCGAAATTACGTATTATTTATTTTTATTTGCTTTCACGGTTTTAGTTTCTCTACTTCTACAACAAAAAAACTGAAGATTGTATTTAAACTCAAGGTAGGTTAAAATCGCTTTAAAGTGCACAAGGTGGCTACTAAAACCTGTAAAGAGCTCATTGTCTAGAGTCCGCTGGAAATTGTCACCTGGCTGCTTGTCATTGCATTTCGCATGATGAGTTCACTAAGGCCGCATGCTCAAAATAACAGTGATTGTCAAGCTCTCATGATGGGAGAATCACTTTAAAAAACATATCTTTGCCGCGTAGACGAGCTTTGACTTATACCTCGAAATTGCATTTTTCTCGGGATCCGTTTTTCGGGCAACATCACGAGTTTAGACATCATGTTTTTTGGTGCATCTGATAGCCAGATCAGGATGAAATTTTGCCCACATGTTGCTTAATGTGTGAAGGGTGCAGGTATATCTTTTAAAACTTGATACCGCCTGTATAATTATTACGAACCTAAGCAAGCAATTGGAATGAACTGGGGATTCTAAGAACTCTCACATTAAAATTTTTCTAGTCGATTAAAATGTCTTATGTGCACTTTCTTGATGGTTATTTGCATTCTAAAGTTAATGTTCCACTAATGGCTCACAACCGTAAAAGTTTAGTTGCATAAATATATGTCCAAAACGAACTATACTTTCACACATTGCGATGTCACAAAACGAAAACTGTGCAACTTACTATAAAACTAAATACATATCTTGAAATCAGCCAAAAAAAACATATTTACAGCAGAAGATTTCATTGCACAAAGCTGTAGATTAACGCAACTTTTTTTTTGGGGGGGGGGGGGGGGGGAATCATACCTCCCCTCAATTGCCACACACAAAGGGATCTCCCCCGTTTTCATACATTGGAAGTTTAAACTGCAGGATCGTTTTAGTCAGTTACAGCCTATGATTGAATACAAGCAATGCTCCCAAAACTGCGGTGTGCATGCCATTCATCTGTGCAAGACGTGCTTTGGTGGTTCGTGTTCCAATCATAAGTACTTTCTCGCTGCGAATGCAAGGATTGTGCTGCCTAAGAAGTAAAAATACATTGTCTTCACTTGAAATATTACGTTTGGCTGAGCAGTGATGTCAGAATGTTTGCTGAAATCAGCCAGGAAGTTTACGTTTTTGATCCAAAGGCAGCGACACTGCGTGTTTCTGTATGGGAAAGTTCACCTACATACTCCAACGATGCTTCACGTCACGGAAGTGAGCAGATCGGATTGGGTAAGGCATCTATGTGAATTCTCCGTTGATTGGTAGTGATCGCAGTAGAAGCAGCTTAGCTCTAATCTTAGGTTGTAAGTGACTATAATTGTAGTATGTTCAAACGATAGTGTGCAGTAGTACTTCACAAACTTTACCAATCGCAGCTCCCTCGATGAGAAGACAGACTACATCATGCGGGTACGTGCCTGCACGGCCAAGGGCTGCGGTCCCTGGAGTGAAAACCTGACGGCCAGCACTCCGGGAGACATTCCGTCGGCTCCCACCAACGTGCAAGCCGTGGCAACTTCAGACCAGTCCGTTGAAGTCTGGTGGGACGAGATGCCCTACTTCAGGGACATCCTTGGTTATCAGGTGTGACTTCAGGCTATTGCGCAATTTTCTAGTGTTCTTTGCATCCCTCTGTGTTGTCGTAACCATTCCGTTCTAGTAGCACTCGCTGTTGGGCTAGCTGGTGCACGTTCAGTACGGATAGTCAACTTGGTGCCAAAAACAGGACAGTGCTGAAACACAAAGGAACACATTGGCAGAAAGGACACCCATCTTGTCTATGTGTTCCTTTGTGTTCCCACATTGTCGCGTTTCCGGCCTCAAGTTTACCTTTCATACTTTCCGTTTTAGTTAGCATATTGTGGCAGAAGTTTGGCAATGAATTAGTGTATGCAGTAAACCTCATTATTCTCTCTCTCTCTCTTTTTTCCCCCGGTACATTTTTGTTCTTTTTTAACTCACCATCTTTCATTATGTCCCAAACGTACCCTTCCTTCTCAATCAGATCATTTATTTCAAGCTTTTTTAGATTATTTGAACTGATGCTGTGGTCCCGCTGAGTTTCAAGCGTAGGGCAAAGTTTTTGTTTGCCTGGTGTTTTACTAGGCTCACGTCAAAATATTTAACAGAACTTACAGACAATGACAGCACAGACATGCAGCAGGTGAAAGAATGCCAGCAGACGATGGCATCGCGAAAGTGCATTCACAGTTCAGTGTGTCGTTGCACACGCTAGACGGCGTTTGTTTCACCCGGCGACTTGTCATTCTCGGAGCTCTCCAAACTGAAACTGAGACTGATCAGTTGTAAACAGACTGTAATTACTTATTTGTCATGCTCTGTAGCAAGTGATGTTGTGTGTTATGACTAATAGCCCCCCCAGTGGACTAATAGCCCCCCAGTGACATTGCAGGGACAAAATTAAAAACCAAAATTTTTGGTCAGTAGCCCTGATGCGTCCTGAATACCGTATTTACTCGCGTAATGAACGCATTTGCATAATAAATGCCCCTCCAACTTTAGTCATTAAAATTTGAATTCTTCTTTATTCCGCGTAACGAATGCACCCCCTATATATAATATAATATGCAGTCCCGCGAACCGACACCTGGCGCCTCCTTGCCCGGTGAATTTCTTTCATTTTTTATTATTATGCCGACCCCCCTCGGCCACCCCAGCTTGCTCCCTCTCCCCTTCACCCGCTTCCGCGTGCCATATTGTTTTTTCTTTTCATCTGTGCACGGCACGTTCCCTGAATTTTTCAATTGTCTGTGCGCCACAGGGGGGTTCACGAACGGTGCGAGTGTAGAGACATCGCAGCTGACAAGCACACAGCGAGTGAAGGTCATGAAACTGCCCGCACCAATCGACGGTTGCTTCCTGCAAATACGAAACTTTAGGGCGCAACCACACACACGCGATTTTCGAGCGACGACAACAGGATTTGCTGTCGTCGTGGCTGTCTTGAAGAGCCATTCATCACCATCGCATTGCAGGTTTCTGGAAAACCAGGAAAAAATCGCTTGTCGCCCAGAAAAGATTGCGACTATTTCCACAAGATGGTAGCACCCCCGATTCTTGCTTAAGTTGCAAGCGAGGCGGCGGCCGTATTTTGTCATCTTGTTATCGACGGTTTGTTTTGATGCTTTGGTGGTAGCTTGCCACAATATATATTGCTTGCTACAATGTCAACGGTGTCGCAGCAGTCGTCGTGCGAGATTGCCACGAAGTTGGCAAAGTGCGTTGTACAGTCGTAGCGCACACTTCTGGGTGCCCCTCAAGATTACAGCAGATACTATTGTTGCAGTTAAACGATTACGAGAAAAGATAGCCGCAAAATGGCGTTAGGGCGTGCGCGGTCGGCGTGGGAATGGCTTGCAGAAATAGTACCTTCAACCACTGAATATGAGTGAAGTGCAACAAAATAAAGTGGTTTCCAAACAGTGTTCGTGGATGTCAATTGCAAAAGGCAAAAGACCTAACTTTTTTTATTTTTTTTGCTCATCACGAAAAAGTTTTCATAAATTTTGCCCCGCATAATAAATGCACCCCCAACATTGCTTCGATATTTCTAGGAAAAAAGTGCGTTCATTACGTGAGTAGCTACGGTAATGGCTACCGCTCGTTTTTGTAGGTGCTGTATGCGCAGACGGCTGTGGAAGACCTGGATCAGTGGGCCGTGAAGAAAGTGCCCCTCACCTGGTCGGCCGAACTGACGAGCCTCGAAAGCCACACCGTGTATGCCATAAGAGTGGCCGCATACACGCGGGAATCGCTCGGAAAGCTCTCTGACCTGGTGACTGTTAAGGTCACACCCACAGGTCAGTCCTATTCATTGGGCTTTTCTGCGAGTGCAGTTAGGACCAGGCGACCTGTTATGCAAAAAACCATTGTCAGCGTAATAGCGCGTGGTTATTGCTAGAAAAATGAGCACTTGCTAAAACGTTTTTTGAAGTTTGTTATTTTGTTGTAGGCTTTTATGTTGGAAGGGGGGGGGGGGGTATACAGCATGACTTTGTTGTCTGTATAATTTGCAGATGTTCCAACACAACTGCGAGCATATGGCGTGACCACCCACGGCATGATCTTGTCTTGGCGACCACCCACTCGTCTGGACTACATTAAGTTTAATGTAAGTTTAAGTTCTTGCTGTTTCGTCATTTCCTTGCTTTTGGTGGCAAGGGCTGTGTATGTACCTGTGATTTCGAATGATGGGTTGTCATCGGCTGTTGTTGTTGCATCGGCTTGAGCATAAAGAAAACGAGATATAAATCTAAATGGATATCTCCACAAATGTGCAACACATCCGCAATGTCTCTTATGTCACTAGCGACTGGCATATATGCTTTCGCTGGTGCCTTGATATGGAGAGCTGAAAGTTGAAGTTCTTACTTCTTGTTTTATAAACTCCTTCCGAGTTAGACTGGTGTATCTCGCAAAAAGCATGTCCTAGGCAAGCATTTAAAACAACGTATGCATTTTCTTCGTCCCTTCCTATTTTTTGTCTGCTAGTATACTACAAATTTCCAGTATTAAAGTTTACTGGTTGCTAAGTGTCTCACTATTACATTACAGCTTTGGTTCGCACTCTTTTCTAGTGCATGTCACTTCTTTGCTAAATTTTTTCCTGCAAAGTATGCGTCAGAGTAAAGTTATACTGTAACTGCTTATTCTCCACAAACTTTCTTTCGGAAATAGGATGGACAAATAGGGTAGCTGCAATTGCACATTTTGTTCAGTATATAGAAGATGAGAAGCATAATAGATGAACAAATTATCGTGCAACATGAGCAGCAAGATGGCAAGTTAGGCCAGTTTGATTACGTTCGTAATTGAAAATTTGGTTGAAGCCCACCGAAGACAGATGGACAGAAGGGGCTGACAAGAACAGCGCTTGCCCTCACAACTGAAGTTCTATTGATCAGAAAAAGGTATTTAAAGCGGATATGTGCCTTTTTTGTTGCTCCTTGCTCTGCTGCTCATGCGCAACGAACCATGTATCCGCTTCAAATACCTTTTTGGCATTAATAAAACCCTGCAGTTTTGAGAGTAAGCGCTGTCCCTGCCAGCCTCTTCTATCCTTGTGTTTTCGGTGGGCTTCAACCAAAATTTCAGTTATGAACAACACGAGCACACACGCTATGCATTACTTTTTTCATCGTGTTGATTGCTGTTTTATCTCGGCGCGCAGATCTCGTACAGTGCACACAAAGAGTTCTACGACAGCCGAGGCAGCCCACAGGAGCTTCCGATTCCACCGCAGAGCGTCCTGTTGGAAATTGGCACGACAAACTTCACCATCGAAAACCTGATCCCTTTCACCAGCTACAAAGTCAACCTAACGGCCGTGCCCCGTGATGGGTCGTACCGCCCGCCAGCCAAGATCATGGTCACCACCGCCATGGCTGGTAATTGGCTCCCTTTCAGTAGATTTGGTCACCGGCTTTCTTTTCTGATTGAGGCAGCAACTCTGGGTGATCTGAAGCAGTGTCATGCCTTAAAGCTATGTTGCACTATGCATAAGCTTCTCAGCAAGATCAGTTTTTTACCCAAAGTGACAACTGTGTGTAATGAGTTCATTTAAAGTTTGAAAGGCTCACTATCTGGTTTCGTGAACCTGATGTATTGGCGTTAATTTTAGCCTTACAGTTTGCAAATTCCAATTAGATGAGCTGAATTAACTGGGCTCCTTCACACTGGAGGATGTGGCTTTCGGTACCAACCTGAACTTGTATAGCGCATTCAGAGAAAGAAAAAATTGCCGAGCAGACTGACGTAAGAGGACTGTGCGTTATGTTCAGTACCAACTTTTTTATTTCTTCGTATAGTTGTGTTGTTTTCTTTTAATGCTACTTTACAAATTTTATTAATAGATCTTCTTGTAGAGAGAAAGAAGGTTGCTGTCAATAAGCCTCACTGCATTTTTAACATCTTGATCTACAAGACCTTTCTCCTTCTGGTCTTTTCCTGATACTTACTCGCTTGAAAACGATAGGAATATGGTTCGAAGCACTATGCGTTCTTAAATATCTAATTTAGAGTGTACCATTAGTGAGAACTAACTGACAATAATGCCAAAGAAGGTATAGGGCATGTTGTTTGAAGTAATTGTAATTTATTTCTTGACATCTAAGAAATAAAGTGGACAAAAAGATAACTTGCCACCAGCAGGGACTGTACCTGCGACCTTCGAATAACGCGTCCGACGCTCTACCACTGAGCTATAGCAGCAGTCACTCCCTAGTCCACTTTACAGGGCATACACATGCACTTAAACGTGGAAGCATTTGGTCAGCTGCCAGGTGCTAATGGGATCACACGCTGCGGGGCGCTAACTAGCACAAAAACGGTGTTCCACACTTGCTGTGATGTCTACTGGTGGCCCTGACTGATGCTCCTACATTTAGACGGTATGGACGTATCAATTTTAACAAATTTCTTCACTTCATTCTAAATGGGCATTTGGGACTAGCAAATTTCTGTCACTTAGCCCTGAAAGAAGGCAGTAATGACACATATTTATGCCATTTCATCGAGACTTTCTTCGCAACATTAAGGAGCTCCTAAAAAGGTAGACATGTATCTCGTGTACATTTCGCTACAATTCTCTGAGCAAACTTGATGCAGTAAAGTTTTCCTAATATTTTCTAGGAGCTCACAGGCAAGGATGTGTTCAAAGCATTACTCATTATGAATCCTGTGAAAACAAACAAACATTTAAGCCATCTTTACTGCAGCGCCTAAGCCAATGGTCAAGCCAGACGCACTCTGGCCAATCAGCAACGGTGATGAGATCACTGTCATCCTGCCCAAAGCATCGGAAGAGTACGGTCCCATCAAGCAGTACTACCTTGTCGTCGTCCCTTCAGAGTTTGCCACCAAGGAGCCGGACGATTACAAGATAGAAGAGGTGCGTGCAGGCTTCCAAGTGTGTCTGACCCTACGGTGGTTTTGAACTTTATAAAGAGTATAAAAGAAATTAACTTTCTAGCTCGCGGTCCTAAGTTTAATGCTGCACAACAGCTTTCTGCATATGTACTAGTGTGAACATATGCATTTGCACTATTGCTTTAAAGATGTGTACTATTGCTTTAAAGATGTGTTATATCTCTAACGGTTGCATTTAATTTTTTATGATTGATTATAAACTTCGTTATGGATTAAGATGTAATCTAAGCAATTGCTGTGCCCACATTGCTTAGTTTGGCTTACTGTTCCATGGAGAGAATGAATGGTTTGTTTTGTGAGGTCTTAAGTTTTGTAGCATTGCTTACAGCTTGAAAAGCCGAGTATGTGACTCAAATGATTTTGTGGACTTGTGGTATGCATTACTGCTCGTAAGTGTAACGACGCATAATAAAATTCACAAGTAATTGAGCCTATGAAACTGTCGACAAAACATTGCATTATGATGACCACTTCAACATAATTTCTTCCTAGATATACCTATATGATTCACCTCAGAGTTGGTGTATCCTTCTATTGCCGCAGTCAGTTGGGATTTGAACACATCAAGTTTTGATTACTGGTGTGCTGTTGTGGATTTGATCCAATAATTGCACTTGCCCACCTTTGTGCAGCATTGCTTTTGGACGATGAGACCAATAACTTTATTTTACTTTTATTTGACATTTCTTATGGGCTCTTCTCACAGTTGATGTCCACACCTCTGGATGAAGACGGTCCCTACATAGCCGCAGCATTTGTTCGCCAGAACATGCCTGAACGATTTGTTCTGGGTGATATGAAAGTGAACGGCGGGTTTCGGAACCGCAAGCTTCAGCCGTACCGGCGATATCGAATTTTCGTACGGGCTGTTGTGGACACTTTGCAAAAGGTAAGATTGCCGGACAACCATACAATGAAGTTATTGGTGAAATGCAGCTGATTGACTACATCTGTCTGTATGAGCCTTAACTAAACAATACGTTTCTCAGCAAAAGTGATCGCGTTTCTATTGGGGGGCAGTGTTCGTTCTGGCATATGTGTTCATTAACGCTGAGTAGTCCGGTACATTTGAAACCTCCCAGAGGATCCTTTGAAACTCACTCTGTAGCTTTGAAACGTTAAACCCAACTTTAGTTGACTCCAAGAAACATTCAAAATTTCGATGCATTTTAAGATGATTAATTCAAAGAATTTGTTAGCTTAATTCATACTTTAGAAGAACTTTGCATTTTACAAGAAAGAATGACTTGACCAGAATCTGCTGCCAGTAAGCAAACGTTTGTTGAGTGTAAATAGCCAAGACATGCTCATTGTCAGTAATTTAGGTATCAAAGTAAACACAGATATCTGGTGCTTTTAATTAATCCAATGACAAGGGAATTTATTTACTCAGTATCCGCTGACCAAACCAATGGTCAGTGACAGGATCAGCGGCATTATTTTCGCTGTCTGTCACTGGCATGCAGCAACTGGTAGTCAGCGCAGCAACTGGTTGTCAACTGGGTTGTAGATATATACTTGTACATTTAGTTTATCTGTATAAGTAGCTAAACACGCTACTGTTTATCTGTATAGTTTATCTGTATAGTTAAGCATGATTACGCTTAATTATTTGATAAGCACACCTTTGCAATCTTTGTTCTCCGGCGAAATTCAATTTATCACTTCTTAGCTGTGAGAAGAAAAGGAAGAAAAAAAAAAAGGATGTTCTTGGTAATATGTGCAGTTGGGTTCGTTGGTACTAATACGCGTATGGGCCTCATGATGTGTATAGTCAAACATTCATGCGATGAATAAATAGTTGGAAGTGAACACTGTACGTGTTGCCCTGTGTGTGGGGAACTATGTGTGTGATTGTGTCATGTGTTTACGCTGTAGTTATTTTTTAAACACATCATGCACGCCAGATTTAAAAGGGTACTAAAAAGAACAGCAATCTTTTTTGCATTAATTAGTGGTATACTTTGTCACATTATGAAAAGCTACCAGCTTTATATGCCAGAAGAAGCTCGGTAAGCGAGAAAGCACGCAAAAATAGAATGCGGGTGCTTAAGTTCCCGTGCCAGTCGCCGTGATGTCAGGTTTCGATGGCTGCTACTAGGGCCTTTATTGTTCTTATTCGGTAAAATGAAGTACTTTGCCTTCCAAGGGAGCCAGAGAACCAACGTACGTTTCTGCAAATCTCATTGAGCCTTGTAGCTAAAATGCAAAAAAAAATCTTTGAAATCTGTACTTTGCCATCATAGATTTAAGCAGAAAATTTAAAAGCGAAACCTCTGACATAATATTCTTATCTATTACTCAAGCTCTTACAGTAAAATTAGTGACGCTAGAAACCATAGTGTAATTTATCAGTCTAAACTACTTTATTGTTTCACTTCAGTGCCTTAAGACACTGGCAGTGAAATGCAAAGGAAACTTGCTTAACGTGACTGTGTAATGATCCATTCTGGCTTCTTTCAGAACCTGTTCACAACAAGCCCGTTCTCAGACGAGCTGAGCCTAGAGATGCTGCCACAAGTCCGGCTTCCCTCGGCCGACGACGTGCCTAATGTGTCGCACATTGAGCGTGCTCGTACCGATGTGGGCTGGATCATCGGTCCCGTGCTGCTCATTGTCTTCATGGCCCTCTTCCTCACGCTCTTTTTCATCCTCATGAAAAGGTCAGCACCGAGGTGAACATGTTGGAGACATCTCTTGCATCTAGAGCGCTAGAGAGATTTATGTGATGGTGTCACAAATTAGTGGGTGTGATTGTCCAGTGCAGAATGGAAAACCTTCATTGAAAAAGTAGCACTCACTGCCACCACCCTTTGACGCACCCCCTCGATTGGCATCGGAGCTTGCCTCATGTCAGCGTGGTAAAAACACACTACAATTGTGAATTGAATTTTCAAACTCAGACCTGAACCTAGTCTGGAACTATTCTTACGGTATAATTCTTTTTCAACTTTAAGCAGCTAACGAAAATTTTCACTCGTGCTTGACGAGCCTTTTCAGGCGCAATATGAATATTTGCAGGCACCTCTAGTGCAGTCGGGAAAGTTCTACAACAAAGTCTGTCACATTGCTACTAAACCTCAGCATGCAACCTACTGTAGTAAGCCTGGATACGACCCACATCAAGTGTACACAGCCTTTCGTACTTAGATTAAGTTGCACAGAAAAAAAAAAAAAAACGGCCTGATCAGGATCCAGAGACCGCCATTGAGGTATGTTTAGGGCATCAGTGTTTATTTAAAATGTTAAGCTCCACAAACCAATCATCAATCACTCAAGTGGCTTCTCTGCAGGAGACGGCAGCAGGCAAAGGCACCTGCGGGGGAGACGACCATGAAGCTGCTGATGAACTCGGGGGACCTGGCATCCTCCCACCCGGGCGGTGTCGGGGGAGCGGGGACGGACCCCGTGGAACTCCGGCGCCTCAACTACCAGACTCCTGCAATGGTTGGCCACCCGCCCATTCCTGTGAGCCAACTGGCCTCGCACATCGAGACGTTGAAGGCCAGCGACAACTTGCGCTTCTCCCAGGAATATGAGGTGCGAGAGTGCTCACCTTTTCTGAGGGGGTAATTACGCGGGGGCTGCAATACCACGCTCTTTATTGCCACCTGGTACGACACTTCTGAATTCGCTACAGTGGCAGGAGAGTGTTTGTTCTAGAACCACCTTAGGTATCTCAAGCAAAATATATGAAAGGGACTGTGCAACATTTTTCCAAGTAACTATCGAATGGCTTCACCAATCGAGTCTATCGCCTCACAAAGTGACCGTTGCTAAAGTTTTCAGAATATGTCGAGTACGAGTGAAGTTAAAGAGATTTATCACACTTGATTATTTCTTCCTTCTCTTCTCTCATCCCGACAAACACTCTGCAAGCCAAGCATGGCGGGATGGCACAAGGAAAAAAGTTATGTCATGCATAAGTCATGACCTTGAGCACTTCTTTTCTCTGACCGTGCGGCTAACATTCAGTTAGTTTGCGAGCTCTCGCGAGCACGTGGGGACTTCCAACGGCGGGCGTAGTAACTATGCAGTTCATGGTGCTTTATTCAGCCAGTGGTTGTGAACTTGGGCATATGGCGCCACCGTTCGTGTATACAGCATCATTTTTAGAGAGAAGAGGGAGGGATTTCTAGCTGAGTTTGAAAAAATAATGGTAAAACCCAGGCCACGTGCTAAGCTGGGGTCTTTAGATTGCATTTTCTCAGCATCAAGAACTGATTGGTAGCATTTTGTAACCCTGCTGAAAGAATGTTGCAGGGCCCCTTTAAGGGGCTCTAGAGACAAAAGTAAAATGAAAGGCACAAAAATGGCACAAAATGTAAAGAATATTTCGCTCTGAAGTGGGGACTTGTGCAAAACATGCGCAACACAAATGAAGTTCACTAACACGCTTATAATTCGTCATCCTTGCTTATGTCTCATGCGTGTATGCGCAGTCGATCGATCCGGGCCAGCAGTTCACCTGGGAGCATTCGAACCTAGAGTCGAACAAGCCCAAGAACCGGTACGCCAATGTGGTCGCCTACGACCATAGCCGCGTGGTGCTGCAGCCCATCGAGGGCATCCCGGGCTCAGACTATATCAACGCAAACTACTGCGACGGCTACCGCCGCCGCAACGCCTACATTGCCACCCAGGGACCACTTCCCGAGACGTGCGGTGACTTCTGGCGCATGGTCTGGGAACAGCACAGCATCACCATAGTCATGATGACAAAGCTGGAGGAACGGACGAGGGTCAAGGTGAGCAGACACTCCTTGAACATGAAGAATGAACAAGAGTCTATACTTGATTACAACCTAATAGAAAAGAAAAATGCATCTCTGCCTACAAAAGTGTGGCGCACCTGTCCTTCACTTGTTAAAAAGACTATTGGGCACTTTTAACTGAGAATTTCTCAGTTCACTCCGACCAGACCTGCCTATGCTAGGGATCTACCCACAGCTGCGTAGAAGGAACTGTTTTGCTGGTGAAGCGATTTACACACAAATGCGTAGAAGGAACTGTAGTGCGCGTGCGCAGAACAGTTGTGCAAGCAGCGGAACCTAGAATGCATCTCTCGCTCTGCTGGCGAGGTCGATCAAGCGGAGCATGAAGGAGCGTCCACTTGACTTCTCTGTCGTTTCTCAGCCAAGCTGACCACGCCTCGGCCACACACGCTCGTCAAAGGAGCGAAGGCTATGCAGTTCCCTTGCACTGCCTGGAACACTACATCTGCGCAAGGCTGAGTATGAACGACACCCAGCTAAAGTGTCTAGCCATGCTAACTGGTTTCCGCTTGAACCATAAATACTTTTTCTCACCTGATATAACCACTACACGTAAAAGCTGAAAGTCCGGCGTAACGACCTGAAACATTTAGTTTAGCTGAGCAGCGATGTCAAAATCACTGACCAAATTTTGCAGGATGTTCAACTTTCCGACGTAAGTGCAGACACACAAACGTCTGTACGGGAAAGTCTGTAACACTTAGGAAGCGCTTGACATCACAAAAATGGGTAAGCGCGATCAGATGGAGCATTTGCACCAATTCTCTTTGGTAGGAACAACGATGCCTGTGGGCAGAGTTGAAATTTTTTCTTAGGTTGTAACAGAGTATCGAAGCAAAGCCAATTGTTCAAAATCCGTTGCATTTTTTTTAATTTACAAGACGTGCTAGTGTGCGGGCCCGTTGCTAGATGTTGAAGTATGTGCAAAGTCATGCTTCCTCTGTTTTTCATTTCGATTCGTGTGCAAAATGTTTTGAATTGCAGTGTGACCAGTACTGGCCATCAAGAGGCTCTGAAAGCTATGGCCTCATGGAAGTGACCCTGGAGGATGTTCAGGAGCTCGCGACATACTGTATTCGGACATTCAGCCTAAAGAGAGTGAGTCGCTTCATCTACATTTCTTTTGCACTCCTTTTTTTTTTTTCATTCTGCATAATTGCTGGCCATAACAACCCTTCATGCGCTCTTTATGGGCCAACAAACACAAACAGCTGCATGACTTTAAGTCTAGTCTATGATGGCTGCATTTATGAAGAATTCCAAAAATTGTCAACTTGTAAGTACACATAGAATTTGGTGCACATTAAAGAAACTTAAGGTGGTCAAAGGCAATACAAAGTCCTCCATGCAATGTATTTCAAAACTATTTTGGTTTTGACTTGCAAAACTCCGATACTTAGTTCTTGTTATAAAATTTCTGTTAGGTTCACCTTTAAACGGTTCATTTTCGTCTCCCTTTGAGATTGTTCGTTGCCTAAAAGTGGACGCAACAGTCTTGCGATGTTGCGAGTGAAACGATTGTGCTGAGCCATTGTTGGCTGTTGACAGCAATGCACACTAAGTGGATTGAAAGTAGTAGCGCTCTGTACTGTTTACATGTGAATAGCACGGCATCTAATTAGGCTTATGGTAAGTGCTTGATGATGTTTTGCAACTGGGGCATCATTGTTATCAACACCAATAGAATCAGCAAGTCAGTGGTGTTGTCGAAAATATTTGCATGCTTAACAGCTGTATAGGTGATGGCTGGCTTTTTCAGCGGTTTACATCATTTAAGTACGGTTGACGCCGTTCACTCTAGAGATTTTAATGGTCTGCTGTTACGGTAGCACTCAATAGACTGCCTTATTTCACCACGTTACCTACTTTACTCGATGCGTACTTTCATTCACTGGTTGTTTTTTTCTCTATCGCACCAGTCTGGTTACCTGGAGCGTCGCGAAGTGCGGCAGTTCCAGTTTACAGCGTGGCCAGACCACGGTGTTCCTGACCACCCAACTCCTTTTCTCATGTTCCTCAAGCGCGTGAGAGCGATGAACCCGCCAGAGGCTGGCCCCCTAATAGTTCATTGCAGGTAAGGCAATGAACCATATGTAACTCTCCTGCTTAAGCTCATCTATCATGTTGGTAAAATTAATGATGATTGAGTTCTAAGCGAATAGATTACCGTATTTACTCGCGTAATCGACGCACTCGCATAATTCTCGCACCCCCTACATCGCCCGACAAAAATGCGATTTCTTTTTTTCCTCGAGTAATTATCGCACCCCTGAAAATTGCCGCAATAATGTTGTTTGCTCGTTCCAGCCACTGATGATGATAGCGTGCGCCATCTGGCACCATCTCCTAAGCATAGAGCGTACTATTATTGCACCAAAATTCAATCCAATCCAAGCCAAAGTGGCAAGTGCGCGTTACGCGTGATTTGTATGTTGTGTCTGTAATCTTGTTACATTATGGGGCGATACGGAAGCTACACGGCTGCTTTTAAGTTGAAAGTGATTGATCATGCACTAAACAGCGGCAACAGGGCCGCCGGTAGGCCTTTGGAGTAGACGAGTTTTGTGTTTGCTACTGGTGACGGCAGCTGAAAGCCACCAAGACATGTTGGGCCTTCCGTGTGCTTAAGACTGGGATTGATGGTGAACTTTATTTCTTCAGAAGGCAACTGCGTACGATTCTGTTAAATGGCCATCAGCCCAATACTGACATCCTTCGCTTACCTTTTGTGGACTCCTGTTGAGCGACGAACGCTACCGCTAAGTCCGCAATGCCCACAAGCTTTGCATACAATATTCTAATACTCACTAACCGGGATCCGGAAGAAGAGCTGTCCAACCCAGATGAGGAGGACACAAACATGGAACTTCTAGGATATCGAGACACTCTCGATTACTAGAGACGAGAACGCATTCGGTACCCTTTACCACACCACACGCTCACACGAGAAGATGCAACTGCGGTGCGTCAACTGCAGGCGAACACATTTCCAAACCTCTATTTCCTCCACATCCTCCATCCCACTTCCTACCCTGACAAATGCCCTGGCTGTGGAGCGGTATCGACGTTATTTTACGTAACGCTGGAATGTCAGCGTCTGCCTGCTAGGCGCGCTGCCAACTCCTTTCCTATTCCTACGCTACAAGACTGGGAGGCCATGCGGCGTGATGAAAATCCGAGTGGCCAGCGGGCACTGGTTCGGCGGGCGCGGGACGCAGCAGCGGCTGTTGGAGCTCTGGACTGAGAGCCCCACCCGACATTTTTCTATGATTGAAATAAAAAGTTTCTCTCTCTCTCGACTATTTTATCGCACCTTTCGTGCCTCAAATAAATCTTGCCTTGTGTTGAACCTGTACTTTTATTGTTCTGGCGTGAGAATCCCGACCTGCGGCCACTTGGTATTCTTTTTCTCTCGTTACGTTTTCGTGGAAAATTTTCCCCGCGCAATTCTCGCATCCCCCAGCTTTGCATCCGTTTTCCGCAAAAAAAAAAGTGCAAGGATTATGCGAGTAAATGCTGTATCTATCCAAACTACCTTCTAACCTCTTAACCACTCAGAGACTGAAGTTTATTTGTGTTGCAGTTGTGCACGAGTCTCCAACAAACGTGTACCCACGAGATTTTTTCAGAATGGGGCTGTAATAGTATTATTGATGATCAAGATTGGCCCTCACTCACTTCAATCCTTTTTTTATCATTATGCTCCGTTCGCCGGCTCATACCTCGTGGCCGAGTGCTCCTTCTCCTCTAAGGAGGAGCGGCAAGTGTGCGTGACTGCAAGCACACAAACAGGTTCTTTTTATTGCTGACATGACCAGATACGAGATGTGGCATCATAGTCAATGCTGGGGATACTGAAAGGCCCAGAAAAGACAAACGATTGTTGTTGTTGGTTTTTTTTACCAGCGATGTGCTCGGAGCTTGTAGCATTGCTGCATTTAACACTGTTGATCATGATGGCATTCTGAACCTGCCGCACGTTTTTTTGAAGTGTTAAAAATATCATTAGAGGTGGTTGCTCAGATTTTAGAAATTTTCATGGCAGTCGATTCGCAAGGCAATAAGCTCCATCAGTCAGCCATTGATGATTACTTGAGGAAGTGTTGCAGGACCCCTTTAAGCCAAGATGGTATCTCAGGGCATTAACAGCAATCAGCCTATTGCCCAGCAGTGACGAAAGTGAGGACCACGCAAATAGGTCGTGGCTTAAGTTGCCGCCTCCACGCGCTTGTGACAGTGCCGGTGTGGGCCGGACGGGCTGCTTTGTGGTGATCGACTCGATGCTCGAGCGCATGCGGCACGAGGGCACGGTGGACATCTATGGCCACGTGACGTGCCTGCGGGCGCAGCGCAACTACATGGTCCAGACGGAGGACCAGTACCTGTTCATCCACGATGCACTGCTGGAGGCCGTGCTGGCGGGCAACACGGAGGTGCCCGCCCGTGCCCTGGCCGCCCACCTTCAGTCTCTGCTCCAGCTGGTGCCCGGTGAGGCCTGCACGGGCATGGAGCTCGAGTTCAAGGTACGCAACGCGGCCTGCTGCTTGCCAGGTCTCTTATGTGTCCCTGGGTAGAACACAGTGGAACCCCGGTTATACAACTTCCAGGAAGCCGCGCAAACCCATCCTATAATGCGGGAGCTATATACAGTTCATCCCTTTTATAAGAGATGTGCACCAGGGAGCAGTTCTTGTCTTTTATATGAGGTGTCCCTTGTAAACAGGGTACCACGTATGCATTTACTTATCAACCCCTATTTCAGTGTTGGCACACTAGTAACTCTTCTACCTATTTGTCTCTAACATCAGTGCCTCTTTTGAAGGGGTTTGACCGTAATAGAAAAGCCAAAAGCATAGAGAGTGACGCTCAATCTTGGCCAGGGAACTGGTACAGACGGCCTGACTAAGCCTGTGGCACGACCTCACGCTTCTTTAAGACAGGCAGATTACTGTAGCTGCAGGAATAACAAAATTTTGGGTGTGAAGTGAATTCGAATATTAAAGTCTGAGTGCGAATCAAATCAAATATTTTTTCTAATACTTTTCGAATATCTTTCGGATAGTTCGGTCCGACAGACGCAGAGCTAGTATTGCGCCTTGCTGGCGATTTAAGTTTTCGGCAAGAGCAACTGTCAAATTCACAAAAAGAGAAACAGGTCTACAGTTCTATTTAGACTAAGTAATACACTCAAACCTTGAAATAACTAACCCGGTTATAACGGAAGTAGATGAAAAGTACTCCTGCAATAAATACAGTGCTAGAAATATACCTCTGGAATGAAATTTCGGATATACTAACAAACTCATTTTTGTGTTAGATTCAACTTTGTTATAATGAGGTTTGAGTTAGAAGGTGCTGCTAGCAGCATCTGGTAACCAAGTATTGATGCTGTTATACCAGACCTGCAAAACTCTTTAGTATGAAATGCAAGAGGCTGACATGTGTTAGTTGTGTGCAGAGCTGTGCTCTGTTGCCTTCCTGTGAGTTCATTTAACGCTTTTTATTCGCGTCTCTCTCGGCATGTTTTATTCGTTGTCCTTGTGCAGAAGTTGGCCAACATGAAGACGCAGGCCAACAAGTTTGTCAGTGCAAACCTCCCCGTGAACAAATTCAAGAACCGGCTGATGAACATCCTGCCTTGTAAGCTCTTGTCGTTTTTGCAATCTTCTATCGCGAATCTAACATTGCTAAGCTGCCCTTGATTGCAAGAGCAATGTATGACCCGTTTGTTTATAGCGTGCTTGCAACAGTGATGAAAAATTAGTTGGCATGGTGACAACCATAATTACCACAGTAACTCCGTGTCCTTCGCATCGTACTTCTAAGAATGTGTGCGTGGGTTCTATTTCTTGCCACGATGGCCACACTTTGATGCGGCCTAAATTCAAAATGCCTGTAGTGGAACTTTCTTGATATGTTTCTGCTCTTAATACGATTTCCCAGCTGTGATGCTCGAAATTGCGAAAATTAAATTTACCAGATTCGGATCGAATGATCCAATTCGTACATTTTTCACAATTGTACGTTTAATTTCTGGGTCCCCTCCCGCTCTGGTAACTTATCAACAAGGTTCTACTGTGTATACTTTGGTTTAGTTTTGTGGTAACTAACCCGAAGTGATTAAAAATAATCCAGAATCCCTCACTTCACCATACCGTATAATTTTGGTTTTAGCATGTCATATGCTTCAATTTCATTTTATTTTTTAATGTGATTGCTAGGGCATATGCTAATGTCTGAATGTGCATCGCTACTTCACTTTGTGGCTAAACATTAGAAATTCCGCGTTAGCCAGACTTGTCACCCCCATCAAACGCCCAGAAATGGCGTGCTCATTGCTACTTCAAATTGTAGGCATTGTGGGTCAGATTTCATATTTGGCCTGCTTCAGTGATAAATACAACCAAACAGGGGTACCCAAAATTGCTTGATTCCACTGTGCTTTAATATGGCTCATTAAGTGAGAGAATGCCAAATAGTTAGTTTGCCATTGCTTACATCTTTTCATGAAGCATGACAGGCTGATTATTTTTAATGCATGCAAAATGTATTTCGTCAGCTTTTTTTTTTCTCTTTTCTTTCTTTCTGTTCTTTAGTGAAGTGGAGCTTAGGTTTTACTGTCTTTGTTACCAGCTAGGTCTTCTCATTGGCAATTGTAGAGCATAAGTTTTGTTACTTTTGTTGGGAACTGAGCCTGGCTGCCATGAACTTTGTTTGTTTATGAACAAAATTAAGGAAGTTTCTTTTGTGGCAGTTCTCACACTATTGTCATTTTTGTCTGCATTACAGATGAATCAACCCGAGTCTGTCTACAGCCCATAAGGGGTGTGGACGGGTCGGATTACATCAATGCAAGTTTTATTGATGTAAGTTCGAAAATATCCCACTTGTTTCTCAGCCCTTCTACAATCATCTGCTCTTTGAGCATAATCTTGTTTGCTCTGTTACTTTGGCATTTGCATATCTTTAAATCTTCTTTCTTATTCTATAATTCCTTTTAATGTGTAAATGCATAGCATCAGTTATTTGTGACTGCTATGTGTTGGTGGGTTGCTGTTTTATTAGCAGTCTTGCTTTTTACTGCTAAAACTTGAGGAAAAGTTAGTGATCTATGTTCCACAGCTCGTCAAGCTTCATACTTGATTATATCGTATTTTCTTGAAGATAACTGCACCAACAAATTGAAAGTGTGCCTAAAAAGTGGAGGCGCTGGTTACATGAAGGCGTTATGTGTATGTGCATTTTTTTTTCTCTGTTTGAAGAGTTAAACTTATGGGTGCATGTTATAAACATAAATATACAGTACAGTAGACTTTAAAGGACCACGATCATTTGTTGGTCTTATCAGGAGTTCGTCTTATCAGAAGTGCCCCAAAAACTAAATGCTAACGTGCCAAGTACCGTAATTACTCGAATCTAACGCGCACCTTTTTTCCGGTTAAGCGAGTTCATAAATCGCATGCGCGTTAGAATCGAGTACGAACAAAAAAATTACGGTCAATCTATTGCCATCGCAAATCCAAAATGGCCGCCCCCTACGTGCGTCGGCATGGTGCGTCGGCTATTTCTGCCTATGTGTTTACCATGTGCGGCACTTCGTACGTGTGCTGAGGAGTTCGTCATCTAGTAATGCATTAGCATCGACGACGTGGAAGGGCCGACTCCAAAAACTCGAGTGCACCACAATGCCGCTTTTAAAAGAAAAGTCATCGCGTGTGCAGAAACGGACGGAAATCGGGCCGCATCGCGGTCGTTCCCGAAACGGTGCGTGCGGGACCGGCGGAAACAAAAGCAGAAGATTGTCGACAGCAAAGCTTCACGCAAAGGCTTCAGCGGACCACAGCAGGGTCGGTTTCCGCAAATTAAAGAGCTGCTCGGCGAGTATGTGCTTGAGCAGCGAGCGGCACAGCGGCCCGTGACGACAGAACTGCTCCAAGTGCGGGCTATGCAATTAGTCTTAGAAAAAGGTCTAATGCGGAGCCAGTTTAAAGCGAGCAGGTGCTGGCTAATTAACTATATGAAGAGGAAAGGCTCTTCCCTCCGAAGGGGAACATGCATATGCGAAAACTTTTGCGGAGAAGTACGATGAAAAGCTTTACAGTTTTCAGAGGTTCGTCCTAAACTTGCGGCGCAACAACGGCTACCTGCTTGGGCAAATCTGGAATGCCGATCAGACGCCTCTCTACTTCGACATGCCTGGCACCACAACTGTCGAGAACAAGGGGGTGAAGCAAGTTCGCGTGCTGACATCGGTCCACGGTAAAACTACAGTGACGGCAATGCTCTGTTACACGTCAGATGAGCACAAGCTTCGCCCGTACCTCATATTTAAATGGAAGACGCTCCCGAAAGGAATCGTTTTTTCAAGTGGCGTGATCGTGCGGGCCAGCGAAAAAAATGGGTGCGCGTTGCAATCGATGTCTTACGTTTTTTGCTTTTTTTCGCGGTGGAAATCGGGTGCGCGTTACAATCGAGGGCGCGGTAGAATCGAGTAAATACGGTACGCCCAAATATATTGCTTGAAATTCTGAATGAGGTATACCTATAATGGGAGGAAAAAAAGAAGAAAAAGCATTTATTTGGCTCAGCTTGATAAAAATTATGCTTCCAAGTAGAGTATTTGAAATAATTTAACGAGTACTTGGTTTCATGAGTTCATAATAATTATGTTCATGAATAAATTGTTGTCACTTTTTAGCAATAAAGTTGTGGCACGACCCTATTTTGACAATTAGAAAAAGATAAAAAAAATGAGCACAATTTTCCTTCAAAAAATAAAAAATTTATCCTTGTGGCTGCTCGCCTTCTGTAAGGCTGTTTTGCTGGCTTTGCTATCACTTTTAGATGCGCCTCCATTGCCTACTGCTACCTTGGCAAGGCCAATATACGCCACATTGCTTATAAGTCTGCAAGCTTTTCCTTGAAGTTCGAGTGTTTTCTTGTTTTCAGACCTCAGTAACTTTTCTTTTCCTGAGCGGCATGCAGCTGAAGATCTCCGTTTGCACTACTCACGATCACAAGCCTCGGGCACACAAAAAAGGACATGACGCAGCTGTAGTTAGCATGCAAAATGATCTTCTTTTGTTGTGAGCTTTCATAATGAAAATCGTGCAGCAAAATTTGCGGCATTTTGCTGCAAACAGATACGACACACACAGGCCCTCTGCTAAACACCGCAAACTGACCACAGCAGGTGCTCATGCACCATTGTGTGACGGCTATGACAATTCATCCGACTCTTCTGATGGGATTGCAAGTGCCGCATGTTGGGTTTCCGTTTCATTTAGTTGTGATGTACAGACAATCACTGTTCCCGTTTTCACTTTCATTGGGCTTTTTTTCGTCGCACTTTTCCTTGGGTTTTTTCCTGTAGGCAAGTCGTTTGTCGCGTTCTTCTGTTCTCCAGTGTACAGTTGGGGAACTGAAGAACGCGAGGAGAATACGAAAGGACAAACGCTTTTTGTTGCTTTGTTTCTTTGCTCATAAAACCAGGCCTTTCTCCCACCTACAAGCCTTGGTGAGGGACATACCAGCTTTATGCACTGACCTTTTTCCAGTTATCTCGCTTTCTCCTTCCACAATGCACTTTGCTTTTGACTTGCTTTGAGTCTTTGCGTTAGGATTTTTTTTTTTCTTTTGCTTTCCTCTTTTTGCTTGAATGCCCCGATAAAGACTATAATGTTCATTGCGCATAATCTTCATCGTCGTTGGTCGCTGCAAGAGTTCGTCTTAACAGAAGAGGCCTGTTACACAGTTCATACTAAGCAGATTTTTTTTTTCATTGAGTCTATGGGAAATCAAACAAACACTTCTGTGTTATTCCTCTTAACAGAGTCCATTACAGAGTTCGTTTCAATGGAAGTTTACTGTATCTCCATCATTTTGCTTTCTGCAGGCTGATGTTCATTAGTCTCATTTTGCAGCTGCTCAGCTGTGAATCTAGGCAACCGTCTCACCATTTGTCATATTTTGGGTCAGGTGCAAACCGTGCGCTTGCAGTGAAGTACCATTGGAAGCGAAAATCTCCCTTTGCTCATTGGTTCTTTGGCCCTCAACCATCTCTTTGTATTGCTTTCAGGGTTACCGGTACCGCAATGCGTACATAGCGACACAGGGACCCATGGTGGAGACCACGGAAGACTTTTGGCGAATGGTCTGGGAGCACAATTCCAACATTATCGTTATGCTTACCAAGCTGAAGGAAATGGGCAGGGTAAGACATCGTAGAATATCCTTTAAGCTTAAGCTGTGTAACAGATCTGATCCTAAATTTTGAAGTGAACAAGCATCAGATATGATACTGGTACTGTGAAAGTGCTGCTCTTTGCAGTAGGGTAGAATGGTATTTGGTCATTGGCTGTTTTCTCTTCATTCTTAATGGCCTTTGAGCTTTCTTTAGAAAGTGCTCGGCTACTTGTACCTGACTTCCGTTCCTTTCTCTTTTTCCCTAGGAAAAATGCCACCAATACTGGCCTTCGGAGCACTCCCAGCGGTACCTTTATTACGTGGTTGACCCAATAACAGAGTACAACATGCCTCTGTACATCCTGAGGGAATTCAAAGTCACGGATGCCAAGGTGATTTATTATTAGCCACCATTATTCTGCTCAGCAGAAGAAAAAAAAAGATAGATGATAATTACCTTGTATAGTCAATTTTGTAAAAGCCACGCTTCATGCTCTTTGCAGCACACTTTTCTTGTTCTCGAGCAGCATAACAGTTTGCTTTGGTTGGTGCAGCTTCTTCTTCAAACAAAGCACATGTACGAGGGTAGGGCATTAGGTTTTTTTTTTTTTTTTTTTTTCTCGTGTGTGTGCTGTTAGAAGATGAAGCTGTCCTCAAGGATGACCTAAATGTTCGGTGCAAGCTCCACTCACAAAATCTTTTTAAACCTACTGTTGGCCTCTGTAAAAGTAATTCTCTGCTTTAGGGTAAGATGACAGTCAGAAAAATTGAATGTCTTTTTGTTGTTATCTTTTTTTTATTACAAATTATTTGGTCATTCTTAAACATACCTCTTTCGTCGAAATTGTTCGTCGCGCAAAGTGAAACATAAGAAATACCACCACCATGGTATTGGTATCTTCTAAATTCTAAAGCCGGCAGGTCTGCGCATTGTCCGCTTTTTACCGATTTTCACCCCTTAATGCAGGATGGACAATCGCGGACCATCCGCCAGTTTCACTTCACCGACTGGCCCGAGCAGGGCGTCCCGAAGACATCCGAAGGCTACCTCGAGTTCCTCGGCCAGGTGCACAAGACCAAGGAACAATTTGGACAGGAGGGACCGATCACGGTTCACTGCAGGTGGGCGAAAATTTTTCCAACAAAGGCTGTTATGAGATCGCAACAGCCAATTTTCGTGGCGTAGTTGTCCGCCCCTGCCAACACTACAGAGAGGCAAGGCGTGTCTGCCCCGCACCTCACTCGATTCCAGACAGGCAACAATCATGTGATTGCCAACAGCTACAGACAAACTTCTACCCAAACCCTGTGCCCTTCCACAGGAGACCTCATACCCGGACTATAGATGCAAGCTATATACAAAAAAGAGCTTCTTGTAAACATTTACCGCGGGTGTGTCCCATCTTATCAACAAGTTCTTCTAAGGCCCTCCGGACGCGATGGCGGCTAGTGCTGCTCAGTTCGTAGTTTCAAGAACAAAAATGGGCTATCCAGCAGGCCGGGGAGGCTATATGGGGACAGGGTTTTCCGGCACCTACCTGTGCGGTCTAGCCCAGAGCACAAACCCAATCTTATAATAAAATTCGTTCCCTTACTCCCACTTCTCGAGTACTTATTCTATTCATCAAAAACATGGCGTCTTGCCAGCTAGTAAAGGAGACCTCAAAGTGTGTCCTTTTTTTTGTAAGCAGCCTTTGTTTGTTTCGTGTTTTTAGTTTAACTATTTCTCTTTGTTCATATTTCACTTGAAGGGCTCCTGAAACATTCACTCACACCTTTGGGCACCCGCTGTTTTCGGACTTTATCATTGCAGTGCGGGTGTTGGCCGGACGGGCGTGTTCATCACGCTGAGCATCGTGCTGGAGCGCCTACAGAGCGAGGGTGTCCTAGACATATTCCAGACGGTGCGCACGCTTCGCACCCAACGCCCGGGCATGGTCCAGAGTGAGGTCAGTGCCTGTTACGCAATTTCTGTGGCTGTGTTTGGACATTTAATGTCATAGTATTTGTATTTGATGGCTGAAGCTTTTCCTGGATGGTAACGGTGCATGTTTTACCGTAGGTTTACCTCATAATATTTCTTTTCGATGCTGCCTCTCTACGTGCAGTGCTCGTTTCTTTAATTACTTGCGATACTAAGTTAAGTTATACTTGCTGCTTGTACTGCTTCATTGTATTAGAGAGCTTTAGTTTCTCCGCAAACTTATTTGCATTAGCCTTATACCGGATACCATAGCTGTAAACTATAAGGACTGGACAAGTGGTGCTATCTGGCTGGGCAAGATTAACCAAGTAATCGCAACATTGTTATTATAGAAACCTAGTGCATTCTACTCTGCTGTTGTAAACTCTTGACAGTTGTCCAATACCAATTGAGTTGCCTTTTTGAACATGTTTGCCTCAAGGATTCTAGACAGAAACAAACAGACATGTTTATAACTGTGATTGCGCTAGGTGTCACAAGAAGGTGGTGCCATCGTTCGATAACCCAGTATTCTGTGAACCTCCTTGCACATATTAACACAAGTTGAAACCTCTGTTGTCTATGGCAGCCATGTATGGGCTGTTCAAAGGTAACAGAAGCTTGGGAAAATAGGAAGGCTTGTAGTAAGGAACAGTAACTGAACGAGACGTGCGGGTAGACTAGTCAGCTGTTCTGATTTATAAGACACTGATTAGGGAATAAGATCATGCAGCTGACTGGAATTTTCGTGGTTTTATTGCATTTGTTTAATTACATGTTTTACGTATGCTGTGCAGCTCTTGACTCGTCGTAAATAATACGGAAACGTTCGTTTCCCCCCCCCCCCCTTTTTTTTTTTGCAGGACCAGTACCAGTTCTGCTATAGGGCTGCGTTAGAATACATGAGCAGCTTTGACCACTATGCAAATTGAAAACTCAAGAGCAGCGCAAACAAGCAGAGCTCCTTGGCCCGCATACCTGTATGTTCATTCCTCCCCCCCCCCCCCTTTCTGTTCCTTGTGCGCTCACGGCACGTGCCACTGTAAGGACAAAACAAAGTGCGTGTGCCTGATGTGCGGGGGAAGTGCTGGCACAGTTCTGCGGGGAGGAGCGAACCTCCTGACTTTGCGCACATGCCTCTTCGACGTCTGCGCCTTGCGAGATTTTAGTTTTAGCTTTCCTGTCATTTACGTTCCAACAGTCCTGCGTCATTGACATGGGTGTGGCGGCTTTTGTATCAGTTGCATCTCATTTTCGAAAGAACGGTATCCGAAAGTTGCGTTATTGTTGGGACGCGTGCAAAGTGCATCAGTGAAGTTACGATGACACGCTCTATTTCGATCTCTCCTGAACCGAAGTGGAATCTATTGCTGTTTTATCTTATTATCTGAGTGAACATACAGTGCCGTTACACATCTGGGAAGAGACGTGCATCGTTACTGAATTCGGTAGTATTTCAGCTATGCTTTTTTTTTTGTTGTTGTTGTTAGAGTGACCACCGGTCGGATCTCATTTTCATTGTAAACCCCGTATGGCTGTAAGTTGCACCTGCGCCCATAGCAGCACAGAAAAATCGCTTAAAAGGCGACCTGAAATATTCATGACACCACTGTGTTCACTAGTAAAAAAAGCATCGCAGGAAAATGTGCCCCAGCAACCTTGGGTGCACTACCGTGTCACAGGCAGAAGTGATAAGAAAAATTGATCCGACTCGGTCAGAGGAGGTGGCAATCGTTGAGGAATTGGCGGCAGGTGTTGTCGCCGTCTTGCTTCCTAGTCACTCAGGTTAACCACTTTCTGCATTTCACGGGAAGGAGAGTCGGCGGGGAGGCACCGTGAGAAGACAGCCCTCTCTTTGTGACCTTCTCTCTTTGCCGCCTCTCTATGATAGCTTTACAGATATACATAGCGCTCAAGATTGTCGGAGCAAAATGGTGGGAGGGTGAGCGTGACCTAAATATTCTGCGAGCGTCTTAACGAAGAAGATCAAGAACCGCCTTCGTTTTCTGACGTCCCTACCTCGAAGTCGCGTAACGTTTACTTTGCAAACTCTGCGAGTCAATGAATGCTTAATTTTTCACCTCTTCCCCTCCTGCCCTTGTTGCTCAGATATTCGTCAAGGCAATAGCAGCAAGAATTTTGTTGGAAACTCCGTTCAGCTAAGGCTCAGAAAGCAAGAATTCCACACTCCCGTTTCAAGTTTATCCGTTCCCTGCATCTGCTTCCCCACTTCGCGGCGTTCTTTTGGCATCTGTGTTGATGCTTTTATGTTTCGGCGTCGCGCGCAAGCGCATTCTTCCGCACGGGCCTGGCGCGGCACAAAACCGCGGCCGTTGTGTCTGGCCGTCGAGCTAATGTAGCGTTCGATAGGCTTTTTTTTTTTTTTCTTTATCGCCTTCATCTTTCATTGTACCATACCGCCATCACAGTATCACACATTCACAGTGCTATATGTTTATATTGTGTTTGGAACGTGGGAGTGTGTTCTAAGTACGATTTCATGTACATAGTCAGTTGCACCCAGGTTCATGCATGATAGAGGAGAATGAACTGACGCTTTGGAGAGCACGGTGCGGTTTTTCGGTGGCTGGAGCGGGGAGTGGTCACATGGCGACAAGCATGTTGCAAACCCGGGATTGTAAGGCTACTCTCGCATAACACCGAGGGCTGGTTGGAATATCGGTAAAGGAAAGTGTCGATAATTGAGCAGCTCTAAATGGTATTGATAGGAGTATGCAGCCGCGGCGTCTGAAAGTAGGTGCGGCACCATCTGTTGCAAGCGTCGACTGCAAAAGGTTACGAATTTCATGATGCCGTTGCAAGCGCGTGCTGAAAAACTTTTATCTTTCTTACAGAGATGATCTTCTTTTGGCATGTCGCTCTAGCAGAGCTTCAATCGCTGCCGCAGCAGGCGTAAAAACATTCTTTTTGCTGCATGTTCAACAGATGGTGCTACGTCACAGGCAGATGCTGGCTGCAGCGAAGCGCAGTTTTGCGAAGGTTTTGCTTGTAATTAATTGTGCGCTCGTTTTTCTTTTTTTTTTTTACGTAGGTCACTATTTCAATTTAGGCAGCCTGTTTGCTGTAACTGTGTGCTCGGAGAAAATTTGTTTTTCATTGCTGCGTGGCTTAATGCCTTCTTAGAGTGTTTTGCTTCTCCTGTTATTTATACATTTTTAACTCCTCTCTCTTGTGTTGCCTTTTGCAAGTCTTTTGTGAGATTGTGCTGTTATGACGTGCGTGGGATAGAGGCCTGTGTGAATGCACATATTTTATTATTTCTTTTGTGCACTGTTGACTTTGTACAATGCTTTCTTTTAGCTGTTTTGTCGCATTTATGGCAGCTCTTTCTTTCTCTACGTTAGTTGTGTGAACGTACAAGCATAGAGGCTTTCAGCTGTCTTTTTTCGATTTAGGAGAGCGTACCCCATTTTCGCTCGTGTTATCCACCCTATAAGTTCAGGAAACTTAAGTACAAAGTTTGGGTATGTGTAGTGTAAGTGCTTATCCTCATCGTGGGACGTGAATGCAATGCAACACCACTTCTTGCTTTAAAGCATAGCACCAGTATTGTCAGCAACACACTATACAAGAAACACATTTTTTTCATAGCTATGCTTTGTCCATTTGGTTGTCGATTTTTTTATTAATCTTTTTTTTACCATGATTCAGCAATTGTGCCCAGTCATTTGCGCAAGTATGTAGGCATTGCTATTCATCTCTTCCTGTAAGAGTTGTAATTGGTATGCGCTCATAGAGTGGGTTATACGTGCGAAACTGCGGTATAGTACACATTTTCTTTTTCACTAAGCATGCCTGTGGTGTGCAGAAGAGAAAGAGAGAAGCTGTGTTTGTACCTTTGTGTTCGATGCTGGTTTGTGTGCGTGCGCAATTCTGTTACATTAACAGAGAAGCCCTTTGTAAGTTGCAACCAGGTAGCTATTTTTACCCAGAAGTGGCGGCGTTTCGTCCGGCTTCACGCCGAAGGTACATAGGGGAACACCTCGGCATCTTTTACCAACTCGCGCGTGCTCCCCGCTTATTTTGCATTTTGGGCACCCGCTCGTTTTGCATTCGAGGGAGGAGACACAAAGAGAAACCGCTTTCTACTGAGCCAGCCTGTGCTCTTGTACATAAACCGTGCACGTGACTTAGAGCTGTAGCGTTTAAATGCTGCCGCCATAACGGAAGTTTTCTCTCGAGGTTGCCGCCCCATTGTTGCACTTTGGGGGGGCGAACTACCCCAATCGACACAGACGACGTCGAGCTCCTCTGCGGTTCTTTGGGAGGCGCTCGCTGGCGGACCGACACATAATCACGGGTTGCATGTCACAACCTCCGAGAGCTTCTTTTTAGGGACATATCATCACGTAGTGGTTTCTTCTCTTTCGCCGACTCCTGTACAGCGGCTGCCGATTCATAGCCTCGTCAATCCTTACACACTGACATACTTAAATGAGGTTGTGACGTAAGCGTGCTGCGCCAAGAAGTGAAATAGGCTCTTCATTTTACCGTGTGCTCGTCAAACGTGTGTGTGGTGAAGTGTTGTTGGGAGAGAACCGTGGTGCCCTATATGAACCTGCACGCCTCGAAAATGTGTGTCGTACGGGAATTTAGTGCCACTAGATGACGCTTGGTGCAGTAGTGCGAGGTGTGTGGTGACTGCCAGGTTCACTACATGTGGTTACATCGTCGCACTTACTATTTGGTGGCTAGCAATCTGAAAAAGTTCCTTTTGCATACTTCTTTTTACACTCTTGTGTTTTTAAGGCTTTTGGAAAGCATTCGGCAGTTTGTCTGCTTATTTTTTTTTTTCTGTTTTATAATTATACCACTGTCGTTGCAGTAGCCCGCAGTAGTAATGGCAGCACTTTGCTGCTCAGAGAACAAATTACGGATTGTTTTTACGTGCTTTTTCCACAGACTTGTTTATGTCTACAATAGCAGCTAGTATCACCACAAGTTTAGCCTTATGCTGCATGATCAAATAGATACGTTTTGCAAGTGGCAAGTTATTTATTTTGTGTACTCTGTTCGTTTGGGAATGTTGACTTTACGACTTTTACAAACATCTTGCATATCCAAAAGGCGATGTGCGGAGTCACCATCGTTGGTGTAAAACCGTTGCGCTTTTCTTTTTTTTTTTTTCTTTGCCATCTTGGTGCGAAACTTTTGCGAAACGAGTGACAACTAGAGGGTGTACTGACTAGAAGTCGTAACGGTCACCAAAGAGAGGTGAATGTAGCGCAAATGAAACTGCATACATCCAGAAACTTCAAGGCCAGAGCCTTGAAGAAAAAATCTAACACTCTCTCTCTTTTGGGATAAAACTCGCTGTGTTGCAAAAAGCCCACAGAGGCACGAGCTGCTCCAAATAATTGCGTGTTCCTCCCTGTGCCACAAGAGTGGCTCGTGTCTGTTGTAGTGTATTCAATAAACATGTGCAAGGACTCTCGACATGTCATTTCCTTCTTTCATTTTCACCTTCTCTACAATTACGTGCAATGATACATGCAGATGTGGCTTTTGATGAATTAAAGGGACACTAAAGACAAATATTTGGTTGATGTTTATTGTTGAAGTAGCAGTCCAGAAACCTCGTAGTGCTAGTTTTGTGTAAGGAAGTGCTTATTTTGAAGTAAAATCACGTGTCAATGGTCCGCATCTCATTAGCGCACTTCAAATCACCCATGCCTGAAAGTGGTATTCCACAGGTCGCTGTTACCGTGCCCAACGGGACCTGCTGTTACTACGTGGCCGCCAACAGCAGTAGCAACAACGGCCATTAAACAATTTTCTGCAATCTCGGAGGCCACGGTTATACCTGCTTGGTTCAACTGGGCCCTACTAAATGGCCCAACCTAAGCTTACACTGTCGAAAGCTGCATTTTCTGAACCATTCGTGCCATTCCCCATAGCAACACCAAACGGTTCTTTTTTCTTATGTGTCAAAAACGGACCAGCAGCATTTTGTTGCGTCTCTTGATGGACGAAAAGTTCATTCTTTATTGCAGCTAGTTTGATTACTAGTGATTGTGTCGTACAATGTCATGTCATCGAGATTATTTTTTAAATGTCGCACTCGTGCTGCACATCGTGTGATACATTTGGCTTAATTTCTTGGCAAGTAAGGTACTGCTGTTTATAATATTGCCGTTTCTGATGTTGTCATACATTGAGCTCTAAATTGTCTATTGCCTTTAGTGTCCCTTTAACGAATTAAAGAGACGGGGAAAACTTGTACAATTTTTTCTTCATTACTGGTACACACACAATGAAAAAAACGCCCATGGTTTCCTCTTGAGTCACTTGGTTGTCTGTTAGTGCAAGTGCCGCATTAAAAATTTCATAGCGTTTCCTTTCCATCAAATACCCTTCAATTTAAGTGAGCCCAGCTGAACCTGGTAGGGCCAGGGAAAGTGCAGATGGCTCAAAACACTGGGCTGCACAACGAAGATGTACACTGCCATCCTTTATGAAAGGCAACAAGCGAGTGTGTTGCTTGTGCTCTGCGGCGGCCGCCTACTGCTCCGTCAACTAGACACTGCAGTGAAGAAAGCGTGTCCGCTTTGGGAGCCATCTATTGGCTATCAAAATAACTAGTTATGGCCGTCCACGGCCGGACTGGAGGAGCGGCACGCAAGGGTGTGCGCGCTTGCTGCTCCTTTAGTCGTCGTACAAGTGTCGCTAGATTACGCCACTGCTCGGGTATTGCAAGGGTGATACCACTGAAGGCTATCTTAAGCTGTCGATTGATGACGCTGTAGGCAGCCACCTCAGCGCAGGCCACGCGCTCGCGTGTTCCCTTTCATGAAGGACGACAGCGTGCCTTGAACTTGATATTTAGAAAACTTGTCTACCTGTAACTTGACGTGCTCGTCATTCCAGTAAGTGTGGTGAATTCCTAAGAAAGATTTGTTTGACCGAGTGGTGCCATTTGTTACTTTTCGTATACTCGTACGGAGGAACTGGTTGTGCTCATCCAACCTCGTGAGCATAGCCTCCAGTGGGACGCGTTTGTAGTGCATGGTGGAAGCGATAAGTGCACGCGAGCTTTGTGCAATTCAAAGTGACAAAGAAAAAAAGATTTAAAAATCATGAGCCCAATCATCGCGTCGCTACGTAGAAGCACGCGTGTAGTGTAGGTAAAGTTCCAGCAGACGCTCCACGGGAAATGGGTCCGTGACGTCAGTAGCGTAACTAGGGGGGTGGCACACCTGGCCCGTGCTCTTCCCCCGCCCAGTATTTTTTGCCATGGATACAGAGCACAAAATGACACTCGACAGCATCTGCCTGCCCGGTTCTCACATCAGATCAAGAAGCTGCTTCCACCCACCCCCCTCAAGAGAGAGAGAGAGGAAACTTTATTAGAACTTGGCCGGCAGCTTGGTCTTGGTGGCCTCAGATGGCGGCGCCGAGTCCCTGAACTCGGGCGGCATCTTCGGCCTGCCGGACAGCCCAGAGCTGGTCGTTGAGCTCCGAGCTTCTGAGCGCCGCCTCCCAGCGGCGGCGTCGCCGACGGAGAAGCTGGTCGAGTCAATCTTTCACCCCCCTCAAAAAAAAAAAAAAAATTCTGCCACTCTTTCTCAACGCCCTCTCGCGGAGGCCCGTATGATTGAACGCGGTGCCAAGCCGAGCTACTAAAATGAGCAGGAAGAGGGAGGGGCCATCTACACATCTTCTACCAGCCGGTTTATGGAGATCCAAACCTGAACCAATGAACATCGGCACTGCGCATTGACGCAAATACATTACAGTTTCACATTACTACACTGCAGCAACATCAAACTTTGCCGCTTGCGAGCCCGCAGAACTAGTTACAAAGCGCAAAACAGTCAAATGTAGGTGGCCACCTCGCTATGGTGGCTAGCCAACATCGCTAGGACCTCGCTTAATGTACACTGCATCATGCAGTGTACCTTGGGCGCCTCACAGGTTCTCGTCGTGGTGTATTACATTTTGGCGGCGGGACTGCATGATATGCTTTCGTGGTAAAAAAAAAACGAATTGCACATTACGTTCCAACATAACAGGTGCTAGTTCGGCTCGAAAATCAAAAATATGAAGCATGCCGTCGTGTGTAAACCGATTTAGCGTATCCTTTCAAATTTGACTAAAGGCCATGTTGTCCAGTAAAATTTACTGCAGTGAAGCATCCAGCGCTGTCCACACACTCGTAGGCGTGCGCACGAGCTGTTTTGTGTGTGTGTGTGTGTGTGTGTGTGTGTGTGTGTGTGTGTGTGTGTGTGTGTGTGTGTGTGTGTGTGTGTGTGTGTGTGTGTGTGTGTGTGTGTGTGTGTGTGTGTGTGTGTGTGTGTGTGTGTGTGTTGGGGGAGGAGACTTTATATTATCTCGGTGGCATTACGTTTTGTTACGCAGGTATAATGCAGATTTTAGACGATAATGGCGGCCGAAACTCTCGGATGTTGCGTTGCGAGAACTCTTCCCATCCTCAAAAAAACCTAGAACCATAGGCATTCTATCGTAAGAAGCACGTCTTCTCTTTCTTGATTTTCTTTTTTCGTCATCCGTCCATTGTAAAAGCATGTTGATCGAACTAGACCAACCTGAGAGAGATACTCAGTGATGAAACTGTATACCCTCAATGAGGCTGCCTTAACTTGTGCGGCCGCTACCACATGTACACGTAAGGAGGTCCCGTGGACAGCCATAGTAGGTCACCGTCTGCAGAAGTCTAGCTCTTCTTGTCCGATGCTGACCGATGTTGGATTCTCAAAGCACGCACCCAGGGCACGATCCAGGTGCAGCGGCCTATGCTCAGGCACGGGTTCTCGCCCGAGTCGCTTATGCCGTACCGGGCCGACGGCAACCGAATTTTCACCAATTCCGTCCGAGTCTTGAACGGTCGCTCACGGACGGAACCTGCCTCCGTGTCGGCGTGCAGCCACACTGCGATATAGAAAGAACAAACAGCCGGGAATCTCCAAGAAAATGTAATAAGTTATGAACTGCAATCAGTCATGTAGCCAAGCAGATGGGTGGGTGGGGTAATTTTGCACGAATACCATGTTCCAACACCACAACCACTTAGGCAAATATTTCTAACTATGGCGCTGACTGCTATTAAGCGAAACGACCATCCAAATGGGTAGAAATGCTGTATGATTGGTGCCACGTTCAGGAATGGTCAAAAGTTCCCAAGCCGCAATCTCGTCCTACAGAAGCTCGGCCTGGGAACCTATTGACCAGCCATGTTCTATGTACTCTGTAGCTAACTGAGCGACGTATGAACATGCTGCTCTAAATTAAGTAAAAACGTGCAGATTGAGCTGCATTTTCTCCAGCCATAGGTTCGCACGAGGGCAGAGTGTACGAGAAGTGTAACGAGGGGAGGCAAGGGAAGGCGCGCCATGTCTGCCACTCAGAGGAACGTGCTGGCCATTGCTTATAGTGCGCGGGCTTGTATGGCCACTTTTGTTCTTGATAATGCTGGCTGAGATGCCCCTGACATGTTGCGATTCCAAGAACTGCCTTGCTTCCAACCTTAGCTCCTGGCAAACGGGGCAGCTGGCGAGCCAAATTGGGCGCTTGGTAGAAGCGCCAGTCATCGCTTCATTTCCCCTTTTACATATAATTAACCGCAACTAAGTAGTGGAGGGTGAGGTGTCGGGGAGGGGGGGGGGGGCATGAGCAGCCTGCGCACTTTTACGTCAATGATGTATCCTTTAGCAGAGCGATGAATTGGACTAACCGGTGGTGGTTCGTGATTTCTTGTTGCGCTGATGACGACGATGACTACAAAGACTCTGCCTCGTCCTCGATCGTCTCGCCGCGCAACAAGAAATCATCAGGCGTGTCCTTTTTGCTCGACCGCTACTGAACAATTCTCTTTAATTAACCATTTCCCATGACGATGAAGGTCTGTAACTTAAATTTCTTAGTACGTCCTGAACATAAAACTAAGTTCTTGAACAGATGTTGAAATCTTACTTGACGCGGCTGCGACGGCAAGCGCCAAGACCAACATGGTTCTGCTCCGAGGGTATACAATGAGGCGGACCCCGCGCTATCTCAGCGAGTTCCCAGTGTCGGCTGAATACTTAATACGGGCTTTCACTTTGCGCTATCCATATCGGCCGCACATTCGAAGCTACATGGCCACCTGCCGAACGTCTTGGTCCGCGCAGACATTCGCCGTTCGTCGACTGCATCGCAACTCTCCGAGTGGCACCCTATATATAATGACGTTCATAAAGACAGGATCGCCAGCTTCGCACGCACACCTGTTCGGTCTGGCGCTTTCTGAAATTTCTAAGCGTGATTGGTGGCGTCGGAAGGCGAGAAAAGGCTTTGTATGCATGACAGCTTTCACAGGTTTCCTTTAAGAAAAATCAAGTTTGGGCGCCTTTACGGGCTTCGCTCGATGCAAATGCACACGTTGCATTCAGCGGCCGTGGCTCTATACACTCACGTCGGAGCAGACCTAGGCGCAAACTGCTACGTCATACGCGATTGAAGTTTAACGAGTATCGGTGCCTTACTTTTTTGGCTTTACGCGTCGCAGGCCAGCAAAGCGACGCGGGCATTGCTAAGTTTTCTAAAGACGACCGGACTACGCGACCGCTTATAAGCGTGCAATGGACAAGGTCACATCTACACACACGTTGCCCTTCACTTCTCTCTCTCTTCTCATTTAATCCCCTCACCCCTTCCCCCAGTGCAGAGTAGCAAACCGGGCGTGTGTCTGGTTGACCTCCCTGCCTTTCACTTCTTCCCTTCCTCCTTCGATACCCAAGAAAAAAGCAAGGCGTGTCGGCATTATAACTTTAGTTGCAGCGTTTGCTATCGGATTTTATAAAAATGTAATAAACATTACATATTTACTCCCTTATGGCCAACCATATCTGGGCAACTACTTAACCAGGTTTATATATAGATGGTCAACCGTCGCTCAACCCGGGAAAATACAGTGACAATCGCATCATGATATGTCCATCAACAATCGCACTGGGGCGTGCAGTTTATATGGGTAAAACTTACACCTCTGCTCAAACATGAGTGCTGTCGTTACGTCATGATACCTTAGAAGTGTGGCAGCTTGGGCTACTTCTTAAGTGTCCTTCTTGTCTCTGTGTCGTCGTTCTGTTCTCGCGCTATAACTATCGTCAGGATACCCTTTGGGCGTCGGTGTACTCGACGTGGTACATTGAATCCTACATATAGATAGTGTAGCGAGAGAAAAACCTAGAAGCCAGTTTTGCTCTTTAAATAGGTACTTTCCTCTAAGAAAAGGTTAAGGCATTCGGCAGGTGCCCCCCACCGAGAAAGATTCCTGGCTACGGGCATGCCCACACTATACTGAACATACTCGATATGTCCAAAGTTGGTCTAAAATGCTTGACTGAAATCAATAAAAGAAAGTGGATGTCATTACTTTCCTACTGCTTCGCATGACATCGACTTCCAGTTTGAGTGGGATATCTGCCGAAATTTTTTGCGAATTATTTATTTTATATATTTCGATTTATCGCTCCATGACAACGCTGATTTTTCGCTCGCTCGCGACCAACGACAACGACACCGGAATTTCTGCAAAACGTATACTTTTTAATAGCATCGTCGATAAATAACATTACCGGTGTCTTTAAGGAGTCCTCCCCCGTTTTTTTTAAGAGCAGGAGTGCAGACCGCTCTAATGTAGAGACGGGAAGGCCTATCGTCTCAGCCGCGTCTCGGACCTTCTCTGCAGTATTGAGTATTTATAGGAGCACTGAACTCTCGCTGCAGAACAAAAACAAAGCGGAGGGGAGGGGGCGCTCTTGCAGGATACTATGAAGGGTGGTAAAGATTAGAATACTCTGGCCCCCTTTCCTGCACCCACCCCTGCCTAATCTCATTTCCCTGTATACGAGCCCGTTTGGGATTTGTATGAGAATGAACGCGTGGATGCTGAGTGAACTGGCGTACTATAAGGCTTACGTTTCATTTGTTGCGACTTTCAGCAAACCATGCATCTACGATCTCCACTGATTGTTTCTTTAGTTTGTTTGAGTGCAGGACAGCAGCAGGCGTTTGAACCATTCGGCCCGCACACACGCTCTGGAGGAAGATGTGCTGAGCCCCATCGCTTCTGCTGACAGATGGGGCTCTGGCCTTCCCTGCCCTTCCCTTCCGGCTCCCTCCCCGCTTCCAGAGCTCTTGTGAATCGATCGTTTCCCTTTTTTATAAAGAATACTAAAATGAAAAAAAAAACTAGTGTGGTCTTTCCGTCACGGAAGTGATGTCAGTCAGTTCTCTGTGGAGCCCTGAAAAAAGCATTTAAGTAAGCGACTTTGAAAACTTGTAAAAAGGTGATCCACATGTCAACAAGCAAATGGGTTATTTGAAATTCATTGCGTCACAGTGAAACTCTATCAAACAATGCGTCATACGGGGTCTCAACTCGTCTGCAGTAGTAACTCTTTAGCGTTCTATGCGCCAACTCCTCTTAGCTCGCGTACATATATTGCGTACCTTCGAAGCACAGTTCCATCAGCCATGTCTTTTCTGTGCGTCTCCCGTATCTCGCATCTCGTGCATCCGACGCGAGTTTCGGCCCGTAAGGAAGGGCGGGAGTCGGACGCGTCATTCGTCAATGGGCTACCGGCATAACTGTCCGAGCGGACGTGCTGCGGCCCTCCAGAGAGCATCTTTATTTACGACCGCAGCTGCCCCCTCCGTCGTGATCTGCAACCACCCTCGCTCTTTCTCTCTCGCTGAACTCCAGCCCCGTATCTTTACTCAACTCGGCTGTACTTCCTCTACACTCGGACCACCGCAGCCGCCGTGCCCTCGCTGCACTCTACCCTCGCTCTCCTTGGTCGCTTACGTGGACGCCATCTCCCGAGGTGTACGTGTTTCCTACGCTCTTCGTGGCGCGATCGTATATTTCGGTAGCGGGGCTGCGGCCATCGTCAACGACGCCATCGTCAACCGTTAAGCGTTCCAGGCTAGGTTCGGCTCGTCGCAGGGAAGGAGGAGAGTCTGTGACAGATGTCTTGTTCGAGAAGGAGGGCAACGAGCGAAAGTAAAACGATAAAGAGAGCACGCATAAGCGTTAGCAGATAAAAAATGATAGAAAAAAATTTAAACGAGAGAAAGAAGGGAGGGTCAGGGCGCCCCCGTGTCCGATCAAGAGTCCAGGTACATCACATGCGCGCGTGTGTTTATGACCGTAAATCTCCTCTGTAATGGCGGCATCGTGATTGCGACGCGCTGCTGTAGCGCGAGCATCGGTTCCCGAGTGCCATCTTGCGTACGCGAAGCCGCTGTCCGCTTATAAGGAGTCCGGAAAGGCCGAGTGACCCTGTTCGTGACCATACCGTTTTACTTCTGTCTGCCCCATCGGTTTGGTTCGAGACAAGCGAACCACACAGATAAACCACCATGGCCAAGCTTACCCTTATCCTCGCCTTCGGTCTGGTCGGTAGGTGTCCTTTTTTGTTCGGTGCCGTATCATGGAAACACCTGCGGATGGCACACTGGTCTTTACTGGAGGAGGCACACACATCAGCGAAAGTTCGCCGGACGCAAAATTCTCAGAGCACCACTCTCCTCGTTTTTTTTCTGTTTTTTTTTTTGGGGGGGGGGAGGGGGCTTCAAATTGATGTTTCAGCATCTAGTAATTTTTGATAGTCAAATTTATTTGTTATAAGCTTTTTGCACTCCAGCAGGGCACGAATTCGTTTGGCAATGGCGCTAACGTCCTGTCAACCTTGCTGACAGGTGTATATCGTGCATGCGGTGTTAAAGCGCCGTTTCATTCGTGACCGAAGCACGTATGTAAGTAGTTGGAATTTACAGATGCTTGCGTCAATGTAGCACTCTTTGCGTGAACACATAGTGGTAACAGAAAAAAAAACGAACGGCGTTTTGTGAAAGTCCGAATTAACGCTGGCGACATTTCGAAACTATGTGCGGTAACGTAATCTGGAACGAGCGAACGCACCATGAAGTGCTGCGAGAATGGCGGAGCACTAATATGTATTCCTTTTAGCTTATGTTTAACCGAAAGCTGCTGAGCCACACAGTTAGGTTCGAGTTGTAACATTTCCTCTTCAACGAAACAAAACAGAGAAGACGTGTAACATCACGTATTCAATTAAGAGAATCGTACGTAATTATCAAGGAATAAGGTTACAGGGCACTTGATTTTTTTTTAATATCGTTAGCACTTTGCTATACCGCAGTTTTCTACGTGTCCCGCCTATCACTCAGCTGCGATCCTTAGATGTCACGTTTTCTGCTGCTTGCACAAGCTTCAAGAATAACGCTAAAATCACGCGCGTACATCTAACCTTGCCTTCGTTTGTCTTTTACAGTCATGATCGGACTTACCGGTGAGTCTGTTTGTCTTGTTCGTCTGCAGACATGATGGAAGGAAATGCATGTGCCTAGGTCGGCTGTAGCAAAAGTGGCCAACCGGGGACTGCACCTTGCGCAGGCTTAGAAGAGGTGTCACGCTTATGAATGTAATGAACAATAATTAAGGTTGGCTATGTTTGTGGTACAAGACCCAGTTATTCCATCACTTCAACGGCGCCATTTATATGTCGTTACTGCCACCAACCTTCACAAATGCGTATAGGAACTGCACTTAGCTATGGGTGTTGCAGATAACTGAAACTAACAAATCACTTGAAAAAAATTGCATAGTCATGAAGCTATGGAGGATTCCCAATGGTTGTCGCGCGACCGTACTTAACTGGAAGCTAAATGCTTCTTAATGGCGCTAAGAAACACGGACAAAATAAGATGGAAGAAGAGTGAGCATTAGCACACTTCAACCTTTAACATTTCACGAAGCCTGAACTAACGCTATTACTTCGCGGTTAAGTAGTATTTTCTCTGTAAAATTGACAAGATTGGCACCTACGCCCTTTCTATGTAAATTTACCAGATATCGTATTATTGCAGCCTGATTGCATTTTCCGATCGATGCTTCAAGGCGCCAGTGCCTGACCGACTGCGACGCACTCTTTCAGTGTGTGCATCGTGCTTCGCACAACGTACAACAGCCATTAAATGCTGATCTGAGAACGTGTGGCCCGACTCTACTTTCGCGAAACTAACGATTCTCAAAAATCGTGCTTACTTTAATAAGACGTTGTTGGTCTGTTTCATCATATCTTACAATATGACGGGCTTAGTTTGTGTCGTGGAAGCATCTTTCAGAAAATAAAATGGCTAACTGTTGGTCTTTCCTTCTCTGTCTTAATTTTTCACAGTAACTGAAACTAAAGCCTGGTCACTCTTCGCCCGCAACGAGCAAGCAAACGCCGAGAACGCCAACGCCGACAGGTCGGAAAACGCCAATGCCGAGAACGCCAACGCTGACAGGTCGGAAAACGCCAATGCCGAGAATGCCAACGCTGACAGGTCGGAATACGCCAATGCCGAGAACGCCAACGCTGACAGGTCGGAAAACGCCAATGCCGAGAACGCCAACGCTGACAGGTCGGAAAATGCCAATGCCGAGAATGCCAACGCTGACAGGTCGGAATACTCCAATGCAGAGAACGCCAATGCTGACAGGTCGGAAAACGCCAATGCTGAGAACGCCAACGCTGACAGGTCGGAATACGCCAATGCTGAGAACGCCAACGCTGACAGGTCGGAATACGCCAATGCTGAGAACGCCAACGCTGACAGGTCGGAATACGCCAATGCCGAGAACGCCAACGCTGACAGGTCGGAATACTCCAATGCCGAGAATGCCAACGCTGACAGGTCAGAATACTCCAATGCAGAGAACGCCAGCGCCGACAGGTCAGAATACGCCAATGCTGAGAATGCCAATGCCGACAGGTCAGAAAATTCCCATGCCGAAAACGCCAACTGAGTGTCGAGCCTTAAGTTTAGCCACAGAAAGAAAATTATGTCAGCATGTGTTTCACTCTAAGTTAGTTCATCTTAAAGTACAAGAACGACGGGGAGGGGCAGAAAATAAACTTATTCGTCTGATTATATACACAGTGTCTCGTTACTCTGGACGCTCAAATTCGTCAGTTTGTCGTCTCGGGATGTCATTATCATAGAGTTTCCCACAATACTTACTAGAGGGAACTCTGGCGCTAGTGTCTATGGGAGTTGCAACGCACGGCGCTTCAGCGAGCATGGGAATGATGGGTAGTACACACATTTGTCTAAATTTCGTACTTCTGGCCTGCTTCTTGCTCCGTGTGTGTTCGTGTGGCTTGGAGCTGTTTTTTCACGAAAACATAAATAAGCAAATGTTCACCGTTTGCGCTTCACAACCTTATTCTTTTAAGCTTACTATTTCGAATCAAGTTCCTAAGTTCAAAAGGGTTCGTTCTTTCTTTCAAAACAAAACCGTAACCAGTAATAAACAAAGCCGCAAGTACGATTCGCCGCCCGCAAGTACGAAGACTAGGCAAATGTGCGTACTACCCATCATTCCCATGGTCGCTGAACGATCGCAGCGCCAGAGTGCCCTCTAGTTAATTTTGGGAAACTCTATGGTCATTATGGCGCTCTATGTGTGTGAGGAAAGTGGGAAGGGGGAGGTGACGTCGTACGTCGTAGCGAAGCGAAGGTCGCACTCATGGATGGCAGAAAAAACGTTCGCGAGATCATACAGTAGCATGACTGAAGTAAAAAAGAAAAAAACTTTACCGATGCTTGCGATGTTCCTTAAAGCTGTGCGCGTACATTCATTTGACAATATATAGAAGCAAAAAGTTCGACAGAGGCATGTATACGTGCAGGTACATATCTCTTTTAATTGCGAAGGTTTTCTTTTAGTTTACTTTTTTTCTGGCGGTGTAACGCTGGCGAAGCGGCCTTGCTGTGGGACGCATAAGAGGGGGAGCCAGTAGAAGGCGTGCCAAGAGGGGTGAGAGTGTGACTTGTGGTGAGCGAGTCAGAAGGCAGCTGTATTTGCTCTAAGTGGGCCAATACAGAGGTTTAGCAAGTTACGAAAATACGGGACCGTATGGCGGTACCACGTACTCATCATTTCCCGGTCTTTTACTCTTTGCCAGAAGAGGGGCCCCAGCACCGTGCACAGAAGCTTTTTGAAAAACTAATGTTGGGTTGCGCCGCCTCATTGTTGCCACTCAGCAACGAGACGGGAAACGCACTGTCATTGAAAAGGAGCGGCGTTACCGTACTGCCTTATACCGTATTTGCGTACCGTATTTCTGTAACTTTTGCTAAAACTCTCTAACGAGGGACTGGATGGAAGGAGGATGTCGGCTCTTCGGGTGTTGGCTCTTCCGGATGGCCAGGACTTCTCGTACTTACGAGGCCTTCAGCGCTTGTACCCAGTCACCTAGGAGGTGGAGGGAGCAAAGTCATCCCCACACAACAGAGAGGGGGTGCACTGTGACTCGGGGGTAGTTGGCCCCATACATTGACATAATAGAGAACCACGTACCTTCGTCCCCTCCCCTTGAAGGCGAACCCCGCGCAATGCTATGCTACCGAGGAAGAGGCTACCCGAGGTAGGCAAGAGAAAGGTAATAGCCTGCCAAAGCGGCTAGCAGCTTTGTCTAAGACGGCTTTTGCTGGATTGCGCTCGGTTACGCCAAGGAATGGCGCTCAATTCAAGAAATACTCGTATCTGCCCGACGCACGGCCACGAAGAATGCAATTACGCCGGCCGCGGCAAAATCCAATCAAGGGGAAATAGTAGGGCATCGCGGATAGCTTTGACTCCCCAAGTCTCACTTAACGTAATAGTTCCCCACACTGTTAAAGGGGCACTAAAGGTAAACATTGACTTGAATGAGATTAACGAACTGAGGTCTTTAATTTCATACTTTTCACTATCATGTGTTCTTATTACCGAGGAAAATTGAGGGTGAAGTTTATTTTTAAACTACCCACTGAAATCTCCACGTGGGACGTAAAAAATTAATGTGTATGTTTTTTTATGTATGCAATACTAGCCCAACGAAATTTTCTGAAATTTCGTTGGCTAGGTTGGCTGGTTGGACCCAAGGAGTGAAAAAAAAAAAATGCTGGAGTGAAAGCTCACGCAATGCTTTGTCAGCAGTAGTGAAGTCAGCTTTTGCCCTCCAAAGATCTAAGAAATATGCTATTTTTTGGGGGTGCCCACTTAGACATTAAGTGGCTTTGATTTGTTAGTCTACAAGCTACGTTAATTATAAACTAAAAGAGAATTGTTTCCGACAAATAATAATCCGCAGAGACTATAGTCAGTGACTTAATCTGCAATAAAATTTGCCTTGAATTCGAGGCTTACTCAAAAATCTAGAAACATAAGGACGAACGTTGTGCACTATCTGACCCGAAAAGGTTGCCACGATAAATTCGTTGGGCGTGCGAGGAAAACGCACCTTCTAAGTTCTGAATCGCCATTCGCCAAACCCCATCGTCTCATAAGGCCTTTAGTAAGATGGCTGCTGCAGCCGGCTTATTACGATTGGTACGGGTTCACTTGTGGGCAACAGTGACTCAATTCATAAAGTTCAACCACAAAGGAAGGAAAAAAATCTTTCCTCCGTGAGTTCAACCCACCGCGGGGGATCGGCTGTAAATCGTGCGTCTACAGCACCCACAAATGACAATGTACTTCATTTTTATTGACTAGAGGATACGTGGGACCCTGTAGACACGTTCAAATCATATAACGGCACGGTGTTTGATGCGAAAATCTTGAAGTGACGTCTTTACCATAGATGGAGTTTGGTGTTATTCTATCCATGCAACGCACTCTCGTTCATCTAGTCATAGCCTCCTAGATTTCCTTTGGCTGCCGGATTATCAGCGGTCACTTGCGAAACGGCCATCGTCAGAACTATGGTGGTGGCGCTACTTAAGTAGAGGCGTCTTCAAATCATTTTTTACGTTCTTATATGCAACAAAAACATAAAAAGTTTTAAAACAGGTGTAAACGTAATTCTAATTAACCCTACGTAAGTTCCGCCGTTATAGATGACAGGCGTTTTGCGCTCATTCAGCCGACAACCCCTTGAACACAAGGCATAGCCTTAAAAAAGAGCAAACGCCAAAATTGCCGATCTCAAAGGCCAAGTACAAAAACCCTTAATCCTACGTAGGTAGCGCTACCATAGACGACGGGCGTTTCGCGCTCATCCGGCAGGCAAGAGAAATCTAGGAGGCTATGATCCAGCGCTCTAAATAGTCGTAGTTCATGTCGTAGCCCGTCAGGCAACCAGCCATAGCCGTTTCCAGTTTTCAAAGATGGCGGAAGAGAAAAGCGATGCAATGTGCGACGAACGACTTCTTGATGCCATTTCATCTGACAACGCGTCTTCTCCAGTTTCTTGCTCTGCGAGTGCGAAATCTAAGACCGTAACGGAAAAGGTCAAAGTGAAGAAGAAGAAAAAAGTTCCGGGCGTCGTCTACTTGAGCTACATCCCACCCAAGATGAACGTCAAGACGGTGCGGAGCATGCTGTCAAAGTACGGCGAACTGGGGCGCATATTCCTGCAACCAGAGAAAGAGCACGGCAAGCCACGAAACTTCGTCGAGGGCTGGGTCGAATTTATGGACAAGAAAATGGCCAAACGCGTCGCCGCCACGTTGAACGGCGTCCAGGTAGGTGGGAAACGCCGTGCCGAATATTACCACAGTCTGTGGAGCATCAAGTACCTGCATCGGTTCCGGTGGACGCACCTAAACGAGCGGCTGGCGTACGAGAAAGCTGTGAGAGACCAGCGGCTGCGCACCGAGATAGCGCAAGCCAAGCGAGAGTCCAACTTCTACATATCGGCCGTTCAGAAGAGCAAGCGCCTGCGACGTGAAGCCAAGGAAGGTGTGGAGGACGATGACAGCTTGCGACGGTCCATCGACGTCAGGCAGCGCGCTACCGACGAAGAGATCGTCGCGAAGAGGGCGAAAAAGAAGGCTGATGATTCTTCGAAGCCCTCCGCCGACCTGAGCCTGCTGAAAAACATTTTTGTGGGTGGTGCCGGCTTGGACGATTCAGGAGACGAGCTTGATACGTGACTCTGTTATTTAACGAATAAACAAGCTACGCGTGTTAACCCCTGTGTCGTGTTCTTCGCGTTGTCATTATTTTATGAGTAATTATTCACAAGGCCTAGCGAACTTGACTGCTGTAGTGGCTGTAACACGCACCTCAAACGAGAAACGAGTATATTCTAGGGACCATAAAACGATGCACGGCTGTCTGCTTCGGCCAACGTTACTGGATGAGGACAGTTGGAAAACTCGCGCGAGGAGGCGGCCGCAAATCGTCGCCCATTCCAGGTGTCGCTGGCATCGCTTTGCGACCACGTCACGTGACCTCTCCGCCGCGCAGCCGGCATCGCGCGGAGCAGACGGAGCAGCGACGCGGCTAGCAGGGCCTGCGCTTGCAGACGATTTTTTCCCTGCTGGTAATAATGGTTAAGTAACCTAAATTAAGTAACGTTAAGTAACCTAAATATAAAAAAAAGGCTGGCTCGTTGTTTCGTAACAGACCTTATGCATTAAATTTCAACCATGACAGAGCAGACGATAATGTTTACGCTGTTCTGCTTTCTGGAGAGAAAGCGGACGGTGACTCTGAGCAAGCAATTGTTCGCGGTTGAATTTTGCTCCCTTCGGGAGAACGGTCGGCATGCCGAGGTGTGCTGTGCCAGGCTGTCGAAGTGGATATTCATCGGCAACGTCAAATGAAGTGCCCTTCGTGCAGCGACACTTTTTCAAGCCACCGAAAGACCCCAATGTGCTGAGGGAGTGGAACAATGCGGCAGGCCGTGCAAACTTCGAAGTTACTCAAAGATCATACATATGTGATCGTCACTTTGATGAAGCGGACATTTGCACCTCCTTCCAGCATGTTGTGAATGGCGAAACAGTCTCGATTCCGCGAGGACGCTGGGAACTGAAGAAAGGTGCGGTACCGCGGCATTTTGCTAATTGCGCTGAGCTTGATTTGAAGCTTTGTGTAGAAAATGTTGGCACAAATGCAGCAAGCGTGCTAGTGGCCGAAGATGACATTACCCCAGTTCTTCAGAGTGAAAGTGAGACGTGCACTGAAATGCTTGAACACGAAAACAGGGCTGCCTCAAATGCTGAAAGCATGGAAGTCATCATGAAAGAAAGCTCCACAGGTGAACATTGGTTTGGTGGCATAGAAGACTTGCCCGTGTATGGAGCATGGTGTGTGCAACACACGGATGAGCGTGTTGTTTTTTACAAACTTCAAGAAATTGGTGGCGTAGTTTTTATTGAAAGAGCTGTCGTTATAAACAAAAACTCGACCGTTGTTGTCAGCGCTAAAGGGAAACTTGTGCCGGAATCGTCTTACACCTTTATTAACAGTGACAAGCTCAATTTTACCACCTTGAAAGACGCAGCGCCCTTTCTTCATCTCATTGAGAGCCTGGGTATCTGCAATGGTTTTGATTCTCGTTTATGTCCTTTAATATCAACTTCTAAGACGGCTGAAAGGTCTGGGAGAACATGGAGAAGCAAGCGATGTGCAGTGCTGTCGGCGAAAGCCTTATGCGTTCAGTGCAGGAAAGCAAAAAAGAACTTGCAGTGCAGGCAGAAACGACGTTCAAGAAAGAGCAAGTACGTGCCTTTGCCATCTGCGCTGTTGAGAAATTTAAGAAAGAAGACTATAAGAGCAACAGTGCTGCGGGAGAAATACAAGAGGGACCTGCTAAGCTTGAAAAAAAAGTTGTCATCAGATCCAAGCAATGCACTGTTGAGCGAGGTTTTAGCTGAACTTCCACCACTGCAGCAACTTGCATTTCGGACAGCACTGCAGTCGATGAAAGCGAAATCTTCAAGAGGTGTGCGGTATGACTGTGGGTGGCTGCTGAGTTGCCTTCTCTTGAAGATTTCAAGCCCACGTGTGTACCGCTTGATGTCAAGAATGAAAATCCTCCCTCTTCCAACTTCGACTAGGCTCCGACAAATAATAAGAGGAATGCCTTGTGAGTTTGGCTTTAATAAGCTCTCCCTTTCCAGCATAGGGGCTTTCATGAAGACTATGAAAGGAGTCCAGTGTTACGGCACACTAGTAATAGATGAAATGAAGGTACGCCAAGCCGTAGCTTTCAACCGTCAAACATACAAGATTGATGGGTTCGTAAATTACGGAGACGGTGAAGTTTCAGCAGCTACTGCTGATCATGCATTGGTTGCAATGTTTGTGCCTCTATTCCACTCATGGGTTCAACCGATTGCAAGTTTTGCAACAAAAAACGCAGCCCCCGGACACGTGCTCGCCAAAATAGTTCTTGATGCAATCGTGCAGCTACGCAAACACAACGCCATAGTCGTCGCAGTAATCAGTGATGGCGCCAGCACGAACAAAGCAATGTGGTCCAACTTTGGCATATCAGGAAAGCTTCACACAGCAAACCACAAAGTTCAGCACCCATGCGAGCCAAATCAAAGCCTCTACTTCCTTTGCGATGTACCCCACATTGTCAAATGCATTAGAAACCATCTTCTTCGACACAAATATGGCATGGTAAGTACCACGTACAGTACAATATCGCAATAAATAGTGTCGCGGTGCCAATCAAAATACATTTTCTTCGCAGCACTACATACGACTGACGGACTTTTTTTTTCCCTCTCTTCTTCTTGCTCATAGATTGGTGAACATCGCATAAACTATGACCACTACCGAGTTTTGCAAGAAGTAGACGGCAAAGAGCAACTCCGCATTGTTCCGAAGCTTACCGCTGAACACGTCTGCCCTGACAACATGAGAAAAATGAGTGTGAAGCTCGCAGTACAGGTAAGATTACGAAAAGCTGCTTTTGAAAGAACTTATAGCTTACCTGATTATTTAGGCAAATTCTTCACATGTGAAACACAAACTTAACTGGTACTGTGAAGTGTTCTCCTTAAGTCTTTTTGCGATTAATAAAATGCCCCTATACGTTTTCTGTCCCCTAGCTGCTCAGCCGAAGTACGGCTATCGGCCTTGATGTGTACCGGAGACTCAAGCAAGATGGCCTGGAAGACTGCGAGGGGACAGCCGCGTTTACCCGCATCATAAATGACCTTTTTGATGCCCTGAACATCAAGCTTCCTCGTTTTGGGATAAGGAGCACATCCAAGGAAATTAAGGCAAGGGCGATAAAATGTGCTACTTTTGAAGAACATTCGCAATAGGTAATGTTAATCAAGAACTGAGGCACTGGGCATATAAATAAAATACAAAACGCCGACAAACATTTACACCAACAAAAGCCTAGTTTAAGTAGACATTTATTTTGTAATTGAAGGAAGGTATTATTGAAAGAAAGACGACGAATAAATGTCTTGGAACTTAGAACTTCTCCTTCCAGATAACTGAAATAAACGTCGATGAGAAGGCGACACGCCGCAAGCGTGATTTCAAGTATTACCAGCTTCCATTTTCATTCAGTGGCACACATGTTTCATTAAAAAATCAGGTTAAAAATAACTTTATGCCTTTCTTCAAAGGTCCCTTTTTTTATAGGCGTCGACGTTTGCATGTAAGAGCTAGCTTGCACAAAAAAGTAATGTCTAACATAAACTTTTCCCTTTTCTAGATCATCCAAGATTTCATGATTATCTTGGACTTGACAGAGAGAAACCACGTTGAGAAAGGAACAGCCATGTTCGCATCTCAAGTAACAATGGAGTCTCTAAGGGTGACTTTGTCATCTATCTTGGAACTAACAAATGACCTCCTTGCTAAAGGTGCACGCTACGTGCTCACAGGCAAGCTTAATCAAGACCCCTTGGAGGTGAGATTAGCATAATTCCATAAAACTGCGCACTTACTTCATTGCATGGAAAATAAACAAAACGGTTATGAGGAAGCATAGCGTGGTTTTAAACAGTCGTCATATCTCTATGTGAGATGTGCAATTCCCGCCTGAGACTTGCACTCTATAAATCCTCTTTATGCATTCCATACGCCATGCGTACTTTGACTTCTGAAAGAGATACATACGGTGAACTGACGTACGGCTTTATTACTACCATTACAGAGGTTCTTCGGAATCACCAGGAGCTTTGGAGGTGACGAAGACCATCCGACGATCCTGAGCTTTTCCCATATCTACAGGTTGCTGAGCCTGTACACACCTGTCAAGGCTTCGATTGCAGGCAATGTCCAAGAGGAGCCAACCTTAATACTAGCCACAGTGCAAGAGACGATGAAGCAAGGGAAGAAGCAGCAGCTGGCAACGTATGAAAAGTTGCGTGAGACAATCAGCGCAAAGATTTCCGAGGTTTGCTTGCCTGGAATAAGTTCAGCATCCCACTCGGGACCGACACCGCTTCCGGACCACGGATATGCTTTGCCAGCAGTACAGGAGTGCGTCGTATATTACCTCTGCGGCTACATTGTACATTCTTTTCTGAAGCACGTCAACTGCGCTGCTTGCATAAGCAGCATCCAGTCAACAAACACTAAATTCCCCGCTTCACTACTGACATTGGCAAGAGAATTCAGGAACGGAAGCCTCAAGCATCCCTCTACAGAACTTTACACAATGTTGAAACGCGTCGAAGAAAAACTGTCTCTCGTGCTAGGAGAAAACCATCTGTGCGCCGACATGTTTTGGGATGCGCTGGATGTCATCAAAGACTGCGATGTTCCAAGCGTTGGTTGTTCAGTTCATAAGGACATCCTGACATCGGAGATTGTACACTCATACGTTGTTTTGAGAATGCACTTTTTTACGAGAGATGTTTGTAAGAAGCTGAGTGCTTCTGGCAGGGTGTCTTCTACAAAAAAGAAAGCCAAACTTCTCTAGACTACGCACCAATAAACTACGCAGTGATTTAACATAGAAATGTTGCCAAGTAAAAAAAAAAACAGGAACTTGAACAAATGTGTTTGGTGGCTTTTCTTACAGTTATTGCACAGCAACATGCACAGATCTCAGTGAATTAAGGGCTGTAATGAGGACACGGGAACATCGGAACAGCATTAAATAACCTAGCAGGAGTCCCACGTAGAACACAGCCAGCTTACCGGCGACGCATGTCATTGGTTCGAAATTTGGGTATTCGAGTGTCAAACTAAAATGACGCTGTTCTTTTTAATTCGATTGCATTCCTCCCTTCATGAAGAGGTGACGAAGAGATGAAGGAGCTTCTCCAAGCTCCTTAATTCATATCCACTCGATTGGCATTCCGTGTTCCTAGTCATGCACATTCGATACATTTAATTGTCAATCGGAAAAACAATCTTTACACTTAATAAAACTTCTAGGCGCGTAAAACTTTTTTTCGCCTTTTGATTTTTTTTTTTTTTTTTTTTTTTTTTTTTTTTTTTAAGCAAGTGATCTTATCTTCTTTCTAACATATATATGTGTGTCGTAGTAGTAATAAATCAGTTGAAAGTCTGCGCTCGTCCTCGTCTCTTGTGTTAGTTGTCTGAAGTTTTACGCGCCTAGAAGTTTTATATGGATTACCAACTAGCCCAATCCCACACTTTACTTAAGTACACTTAATAAAATAGTTGAATTTGCACAATTTAAAAACTGTATCTACTTACAAACGGTATGCATTTAAAAAATACAAGCCGACTGTTACGAACCATTCTGTTAAAATTTGTTTGTAACTACGTGTTTCTTCTGCAAAAGATTGCTGTGCTGGGAACCAAAAAAAAAAAAAGTGAGTTGTCTCGTAAGATATACATCATCGTATTATTCTCCCTGACAAGCCACACAGATAACGCACCGCAGCGTAAATGCAGCGGCATTGTATACAATAAAAACATGCGCAAGTTTTCAGAACTCGCGACTGTTTCATTTAGAACGCTTACTGTCGCTTTCAAATAAGAGCATGCTTTTATAGAAAACGCTCAATGTAAGGACTGCACGAGCAATGCGATCTCAAAAAATTTTCAGGAAATTTCAGTTTATGCTCTCGGAGGCACCTATTCATTAGGCAAGCACAAGCTCATCACATCGAAACACCTGCGGAATGCAGTCAGCACCATCAGCACGTGGCAAAAAGAACCACTCAGACTTCGTTCAGAGCTCCAAGCTGTGTCCACCTTCATCTATGCAGTGGTTGTAGCAGGAAGCTCTCAATATGCATCCGCTAACAAGATTCCTTGAGATATGAAGTGCTCCAAAAACGCTGCGCCGTCCTTCGGAGACGGGGCGCGGAACAGACGACGAGCAGACGACGCACGAAGCTCGTCACATGACCAGGTCGCAAAGCGATCGCAGCGCCCCCGCGTTTTGGGAGACTGTGAGCGGCCACGCCGCTTCCGTGGCGAGCCCATGCAGTTTCCCAACTGGCTCCATCCAGTAACGTTGGCTTCGGCGAATTGGCGACTTTGGCTTCAACTTGTGCTGGCTCGTAAGTAACTTGTGTGCGGGACTGGTAGGTGTTCTGTGGGGCTGCTTCCTGTTCCGGCCTGTCGTCCTTGTTCGGTCTGCTCCACGGGCATCTTTCGTGACCGAAATCAGATTGGCCACGCTTTAATATCCAGCGGAGAGGCCAAAGAATGGTGTTCATACCCCCCGACCAGCTCAAGTATGTATATATATATGAACTGTGGGAACAAAAGCGGAAACAGCTGGGCTGGAAGCCGTTCAGCTACTACAGGACACCAGCAGATGAAGAAGGCCTTGAGAAGATGCTGTATCTCTCACTTTATTCAATGAAATACGGTAAGTAGATTCCGATCCTGTATCATATTCACAAATTAAACGTGAAGTATACGGGGGAGCATCTGGAGCTTAGCAGCTCTATCAAAAGGTGCAACCTCCGGCGGTCTTGACCTGACTTCTGATTAACGTGCCAGGAGTGAAACTTCTGACTTCGATTTTTTTTTTATACACTTCCTTTCATTTATTGGGCTCTGTTGCCTTCGTCTCCTTAGTTTCTTTGCTAGCCGCTGAGCTTGCTTAAACCTTGCAGTGTCTACGCTTTCGTTACAGTATGAAGTAGCTTAAGAGGCGCTACTGGTGCCGTTTACGAGCTTAGTTGCTGCGCGGCCACTGGCTGCAACAATTACTATGCTGCCCGAACGTTCACTCCCTGTTCATGTGGCACGCTTTTGGTAAATTTAACCTCAGCTGCAGTGACAGCGCTATTGGCTGTATAACTCATTCTGCATTTCATGAAGCATTGGACGTGGTACAGTTGCCAACACGTCTGCCTAGAGCACTACAATGCAGAAAAAAAAAATAACTGTGTAGTGCTGGCCAGGTTCAATGGACGTGTTTGAAAAGAGTAGTAGTTGCAGCAGAGCACTAGCTGCAAAGCAACGTGTTTAGATTAGGTCTAAAATCTAAAACCTAATCTAAAAACGTTGCTGCAAAGTATCCAGCTTGGCACCTTAAACTTTGCAGATCTTGTGCTATTGTGCTTAGGTATATCCGAATTCTGAATTTCAGAACTTAGACGAATATTATGAATAGTTTCAGAACACTAACGCAAGCATTTTCAAAGCAGCCCTAGTGTGGTGATGTAACCATTTTCGAAACAGCCCAAGAATTACACTACATTTAATTTGAAACTAATATTTGCAGGCTTTATCAAAGGACCATTGCGACTACCTTTAACCAGCAAAAAATACCGCTGTAAACTGAGCCAAGCTCGTATACAGCAGAAACAAGAACCTTAGAGGTATATTTTAACTCCATGTTTAAATTATGAATTGACTACTTTGTTTATTGTCACTCCTTGTCAGCAGATTTTTTATTGAACTCGTGTATAGATACTACACAATATGCATGAGTCAGCATGATTATGAGTATCATGATAAAGACAGTGGATTGATTATCTTGCATATTTGCTGACACGGGAAGCAAGAAATATTTGTCCAGCGAAATTGGCGGATTGTATGGGAACTTGGCTTCACATATTTCCTTTAAAGGGACCTTAAAAACAAATATCAAGTCGACGTTGATTGTTGAAATGGTGGTCCAGAAACCTCGTGTTGATACTTTTGTGCCATGGAAGTGGTTATTTTGAAATCACCTTTTAATAGCCCGCATCACGCTAGCGCACTTAAAATTGCCCCACCTCAAAGTGGTCTCTCTCATGTCACTGTTGCCGTGCCCTATGTTGAACGCCATTACTATGCAGCCGTCGACACCAGCAGCAGCAGCAGAGCGAGAGTAGCGGGAGCCACAGTAAAAAAAACGGCCATTGAACAATTATCTGTAATCTCAAAGGTTCTGCTTGCTTGGTTCAACTGGGTGTCGCTAGATGATGCCATCTATCCAGCATAACCAGCTTAAAACTGAAGTTTTGAACCTTTCGCGCCATTCCCCATGATAACACCAGGCGGTTCTTTTTTCTATAAATCAAACAGAAATGGACAAGCAGCGTTTTATTACGTTTCTTGATGCATGTAAAGTTCTTTCCTTATTACAGCTAGTTTGAGTACAAGTGATTAATTGTAGTTAGTTGCTCTCTCGTCATTGGGATAATTTTGCAAATGTCCCTTTCATGGCGCAGGTCATTTCAGCTTAATTTCTTAGCAAGTGAGGAACTGCTGTTGATAATATTGACGTTTTAGACATCATGCATTGAGCTTTCACTCTGACCTAAATTGTTATTTACTACGTCAAGTGCCCCTTTAACACATTTGCCTGCTCGAGGGCACTACCGGTGTCACGTGTTTCGGCAGTAAAGGTGGACGACATGGGCGTCTGGGCAAACTGTGCAGCATTGTTTACGCCGATCGATAGCGACAGCTGCGAGTCAAAAACTCCAGTTCCTGCACCAGTGATTTATCGGATAGCGACAGTTACCATGAAACTACTGCATAGAAGCGGGAATTCAACAGCAGAATAATCAGAATGGTATAACTACGTGCAGGCTATTCTGGACAACTTAAGCACGGGTAGTGTTCCAGTCACAGATTTGGAAGCGTTGCTCTACACTTGAGTTTAGTCCTCGCTCCCGCAGTTCATCAGCTGCTCTGCCTCTGCCATTAAAATTCAACATTAAATTCAAGTGAACGGTCCGCTGGCCTTTCGCCTCCTCTAACATGTGGCAGCTGCATAAGGGATGATTCATACTAAGATCAGGGACACTAATCCCCGTATTCTAGGACGTCCCTTCATTCAACGCTCCACCTTCACTTGAGAAAGCCGATGGGAGCGCCGTCTCTAGTCACGACAAGTCACTGCACATCAGCGATAATCTGCTGCGATTCTTGAATAGCACAGCGCCATTTTCAGCCGATCGGCGGCACAGTGCTCAAATCTGTCAAGTGAAGGGTGCAAGTCGAGGAGCGTTTGTGAATACGGGGGTAAGAGACAGGTTGAGCAGTATTTATGCGAAAAAAAAAAAAAAGATTCGTGTCAAAGTCTCTGAAGATGATAGGAAAATGCTTCTTCTTCTCCATTCTGTGATAAGTGAGTCAATTCCTCCTTTAAATGGTAGTGGCTAACAACATTAGAAACCAGGGGTTTCATACCCACATCAGCTAGCGGGCCACAGTCATGAAATTTAATCTCCAAAGGGCCTGCACATGCAGGCCAAATATCCACCTTCATGTGCAGGCCGATGTCACTGCTTGGAGAAGGGTAGAATTTTAAGTGGGGACGACAAAGTTTACTTGTAATTATCATTACGCACAGTATTTGCATTAGCCACAAAAAAGTACTAATAGTGAGACTGGAAGGCCACCAACACAGCAGTGTTGCTCGGACGAGTGGACGGAGTGCTGTAGGTCTGGTAGTAGAGCTTAATATTATTCTTAGCTTGTGACCTATTGTAATTGTGTCACGAGATGTATTTTGAAATTCAGGCGAGACCAAAGCCCCAACTACATGTGCACGTTATTGATGCACTAGCGTGTGGCACGTACACTCGCCGCCTCGTGCTCTATGGAGGGAGAGGGTGCAAGGTTACACGAAGCTGCACACCCTCTCTCTCTATAGGAAGAGGGTGCTGCGCCACACGCTGATGCGCTGTGACGTGTACCTGTGGTTAAAACATTAATGCGCAAAGTACACTCTGTTGATTCTGTCACACCCGAGGGTCCGAGGAAAGATGTATGCACTATTAACAAACTTCTGCGTTTGATTTCAGGTACTGTAGCCGGCTTGTACGACGGACTGGCTGTTTCGGAAGCGAAAACGTTGAAGCACTACCTGGGACGTGTAGGCTACTGGACGGTTCCGGGGGGTAAGTTGCCCCAGCATTACCATACAATCTTGAGCATTAAGTAGGGATGGAGGACAAAGATAACTGAGAATGTGATTTTTCAATTCTTATGGCACACTGTTTCAGCGTTACCGATGAATGCTTCCACAAAGGGGTGAGCTTTTATGCACAGTGGAGAGCATTTGAAAATGGCCCCAAATGCGCCTAGTCCCATGACTGCACCCTGGCAACTAGACCTTTAAATGGCATTTTCTTCAAACACTACTTTTCGTCAGAAAAGGAACATCTTCTCTGTAACCACTTAAGCTATCAAACGCAAAACTTTTGTGACTCCTCTCTGAATACCATGCGCCCTTTCTGAAGCAAAAAACTGGTTATCACTAGAACTGCATTTTTTATGAAACCCTTTTATTTAAAGGGGCCCATCTATCAGCCATTGGCTGATTTGAACATGGTGTGCTCGCTCGTTACAGAGATCACCGTAGGAGGCCGCTACTTGTCCATGCGGTCGCTGCGATCACACTGATAAAGTTGCGCATCTGAAAAAAAAAAAAAAGAGTGCTCAAGGTCGCGTGCGTGACGTTTTTCTATGGCCTTGCCAACCCTCCCTGCTTAGCTTCCAGTGCTTTCGTCAAAACGAGAGAAGAGAGAATGCAATTGCAGCATGTGACAAACCTTTGTAACTTCACTCGCACTGGACGGATTTTTAAAATTTTTGCAGCGTTGAATTCGCAAGGCAATAAGCTCTTCCAGTGAATTCATTCCATGGTTACTTGAAAAAGTGTTTCAGGGCCCTTTAAGAAAAAGCCCTAGTATTCTAGTTGAAAAACATTTATACCTTTAGTTGGAGAACGGTCCTGCCTAAAATTATTATTTTGGTTTAGAAGGATACACTGGGCACATGTGAAAACCAGAAGAGATATCACTATTTTACATGTGAAATCTTTTCCACAAATGTTCCTTCAAAAATAAAAGCATTCAAATTGTTTTTTTATTATTGTTGGAGTGCCTTGATATTTTCTTGCCAAATTCACTAAACATCTAGTAAAATTCCCATTCAAGCAACGTGCAAAATTTTATAAGGTCTGCTTTAAAAGTAACAGAACATGGGCAATAGTAGTTGCACACTGGTCCGTGCTAACCATCTTTCCTTAAGTGTGGTACGTGCTGCCTTGAGCCAAAGCAGCTATTACTGGGAATCTGTCAGTGTGTGTTCCTGTTTGGGCCAGCCTCGTAGACAGTCTACGCTGATAAATTTGAGCCCAAGTCACCCAGGTAGTGAAAAATTTCTCCAAGATGCACCATCGAGCACATACTATTGTTTCTTAAAAAGCACCAGCAGTTATTCGTGCCCTTTTAAACTTACTTTATGTTTGAACTTATGCATGAAAAAGAAAAACAAGAAAAAACACTACTGTCTCCTTCTGCAAGCAAACTTCACTAGTTTCCTAGTGTTCTGCTATACAGCATCTCAAGCCATCACTGCGTCATGCATTCTAAGAAAAAAAAAAAAGTAGAGGAGAAAGGGCATCTCTTTGTCCCACAACAATAATCGTCATCTACATTGCGTTCCTTTCCTTGCGTTCTCGCTGTGTGCGCGGTACTTTGCATAGCATTCTTGATAGACAAGTGGCCAGCGCCGAGTTTTCAATAAAAGAAGCACAGGCCAGCCGGATGATGAATGTGTTGGGACAAAAAGACACCCATTTTACTCAATCTTTTAAGTGTAGCTGTCAGTGGTACTCGAATAAATATATGTTGTTCATGTTAAGCTGCCTTGCGGTCATTATCATCATTGGTCACGCCTCAATTTAGGATTATGCTGCTCCTGGAGATTTCTCTGTTTAAATGTTGTGTATGCATAAACATACACGGCATTTAATAAAAACCAGGCATCACACAATGTGAATTGTTAACTGGGTGTCACACAATGCGGAATGCGTGACGAGTGGTTCGTCGAATGCTTCAGACCCCTCTGCAAAAGGCTCGGCTGTGACTCCTCACCATCAGCCCTAGCTTCAGCTAAGTGCACGCAATGCCTTAAGGTGTGTTCGCAGGTGCCACACTACTTTGCAGGATGTGAAATAACGGCACATTGGATGCTTCTGTACTGCAGAAGACTTATGATTTATAGCATAGTGGGTACCACGCAAGTATACTTGTATCAGCTGCCAAGGAAGCCCATAAGGCCCCCCATGGCCCATTTTCTCAGGACCTCAATACAATTATTTCTCGTTAACATGTAATACGGCATGGTGGGCAAGTAAAACAATGACCGAGCGCCACACAAGGCAAATTATGTGTCTAGTAGGCCATCTAAAGCTTCTAACCAATTACTATGGGTTCAGTCAAGATCTTTAATCGCCATCAGCCACGTCATCAACAAAGTGCGCATGGTGCCTTGCATATGGGGAGTGGGTGCCTCGCTTCTCTGCAGAATGATGAATGGTAATTGCGTAGTGAGTGCTTCCAAACCTGACCGAAGTTATGATTGATGGCATAGAGGAAGAGGAATGCTTTATTTTCAATAATATTATTTACAAAAAAAATTATGCGAAAACGCTGATAAATAGCTGATATAGCTATTTAAGGATCAGTTACAGAAAAGGCACGTTGTGGTTTAATTAGCAGGTACAATAGTTACAAAGATAATTTCATCACAAAGCATACAATCAAATACCGTCATGTAGGGAAAAAAAGCAATAGGAGTAATCGGACATCTACATAGATACATTTCGACGACGTTAACATCGCAACTGGTAACTCCCCGATAGAAAGAGTGGGCATAATGGGCACCTTGTAGGTGTAGTTGTATTAGTTGCCTCAAGAGGGTCTAGAATTTACTCTGGAAATTCCGCTCTTCCAGCTTCTGTTGTGAATGTGCTGCGCTTTCCGCACAGGCCTGGGATTTTTCTTATTGAAAACATTCCCATGAGTCGGTGCAACATATATGTCCCTTTTTCTTTGTTTTCAAAAAAGTATATTGGCTTGATTCTGATGAAATCCTGTTTTATACTATTTCTTCATAAGTTATGTCGATATACCACAGCCAGTTTTCATATTATCGTGTTAAAGATATAGGTGAACCTACGAAGGGATAATTCATGTTGCAGGATATGAAAATAGGAAAACATTTGCCTAACAGTTAAGCCAGAGGTGGACGTGGCTATGTGCGTTACGTATAATCGTCTGTACATGTGTCCGCTGTAGCTTCTTATTCCATTCCATGTGCTTAAACACTTTCTTGCACCTACCGGATGTTTGTACGAAGACGTTGAAAAATATTCGAACATCACTGCTTTAAAATGAACGGGAAGTCCTATTGGAGAAATGTCGTTAGAGGTGACGACCGTGCGTCGGTCGACAACTATTACTTTCCAAGTCATTTAGTTACAGCTTTACCTAATAAATTTAGTACGCTAGACTAAAACCAGAAAATGAGCCAAGTTATTTTTGGGAGACCTTGTTGGCCTTATAATCTATAAAAGTGCGGTTTACTTGTGGAACAGTAACACAGCAAATTCACACCAACACAGCACACAAAGCTGCAGCCGCACGCCAAATTGTCCATGTGGCTGCACCCCTTAGGATCGAAGTTATCGCATAAGAACACCTTGTAGTATGCTTGTCATTGATTTTGGGTAGACCCACCTGTTGAAGTTAGTGTTTGTGTACTGCCCTTCTGTTGCGTCCATGCTGTTTGAGCTTATAGTAATGACTGCACTGCCTGTCCGCTTGCAGTGGTGTCCACTGGTGCTTTTGTGGCCACAAATCACGTCCTGGCAAAGCTCACTGGCAAGGACTCGGTGTACAACCACATGGCGAGTGCCGTAGTTGCTGCCTCCGTGTGGGGAGCAAAATGTAAGTTTCTTCTCTCACCTCGTATTACTTAGTTCGTTGTCCACTTTGGGAGCCATATCCACGAAATACCCATCCACATTTTGGTTACAGTTCGCCTCTTTAACGATGCCAACCAATGTCGCATAAGCCGGATCAATTATGTTAAACCACAAGCGATACACTGCCCACTCATACATTACAGCATTTCTTGTTGAATTTCAGCCTGATATAATGCTGCTGTGTGAATTTTCATTTATTCTTTCAATGACTAAGTGCACATGTGCTCTTTTTTTTTTAAGTATGGCCCACAAAGTTCTTTAAAAAGTTTACGTAAATATGCGTATGCACTGTGCCGCCAGGTAATCTTTGTCATCTGTGATGCTGTTGCTGTTCTGCTTTGTTGTTGCTGTCTTCGGTTTGCTTGTTGAAACAATACGATGTACACATAGAGATAAGCAAGTACCACGATGCTTGCGATCTCCTCTGTGCAGCCACTTACGATCATTGTGAGGATCTTCTTTACGTAAGCAGGCTCCCTTTTGAGAGATTTAGATACTCATTAGCAATTTGTGTCCTCTCTAAAATAAGTAACTTATTTTGCAATGAGCACATGCGCAGTTCTGAAACCTCTTCCCCTCATGCAAACATGTGCCGCCCCTAGTCCTGTACTCAGAAACCCAATATTTTTATTTTAAACATTGATGGTTTGCATCTTTATTTATCAAGAATGTTATTAACATCTCCCATTCTGGCCTTGCCTCAGTAATTGTTGCGATGTTTCGTTACCGATTCAGTATCTTCCTTTGGGGGCGAGTGCATGGATATTTCCGTTGCATGCCATTTCACTTGTTTGAGGCGATTCACGTTTGCACGTGTGTTCTGAATAAGCCAAGACTCTGGTCTTTTCGAGCCTTCTTACCCGATTTCTTTTGGTTTTATTCACAGAAGCGCAAAGTCAATGTAGTGGTCGCTCTTCTCACATTTAATTTCTTAAAAAGCGTGCCCTTGTTCATCGGAGACTGAAAATGACCTAGAGAGGGTTGAAAGAGAGCAACATAGCGCACCCGTCGTGTCATCTCTTTAACGCCATACCGACAATATTTGGCTTAGTGTATAATCCTCAGACAAGTACTGACAATGCGAAGTCAAGTCCCCTAATCTCCGAAAGGATCTTTAGAGATTTCGGCATTTAACCTGCAAAGTCCTGCGCTGCCGAAGGGACATGAACTGTTGAAGTGCGGGTGCTTGCTCGCCATTACTACTGGTGACTGCATGAGTAGGGGCAAAAAGGGCTGGACTCGCACCTGATTTTTCAATCCGGTGTGAGGGTGGGATGGCACCATCATCATAAAGACCGGGGGAAGAGGGGTTAAGGTTCCATCGTGACCTTGTTTACAGCGCAACACCAGAAAAACACAGGACAGGGAAGGAGCAAAAGAGAAAGAAGAGACGCCTGCAAAACTTCTGCCTCATGAAGGGGGTCGCCGCTGATAAGTGACTGACCCATGTAGTACCGGCCGCACACGAAGGCAGCGCGAAGTTATGTTGGTGGTTCGTGCGCAGGTTCGACTCGTGGGAGCAATGCATTGCCGCCTTCCACTCTGAGTTCTCGTCAGCTAACGCAAAGCGTCGCCTGAAAGCGGAGCTTGAGCGCCGCATGCAACACCCAGAAGAGAATTTGAAGGAAGTAATTTATGCGATTGCTACTCTTTACGACCGCATCGGGGAAGAGGTCACCGAAGCTGAGAAAATTTGGCGCAGGGGCATGTCTACAACTGCCTCGCCGAGTTGGTGAAGGCAGTCGGCGGCTTAATAGAGCGGGCTTAGTGTTGCCTTCAGTACAGACCACTGCCACTTCCGAGCAACCAAGTAGCCAGAGCTTTGGCGTTTGGCCCTAGCCCGGCCCTTGAGCATCGCTCACTGCCACAACCAACCACTATGGAGACGGTGTCGTTCGCCTCATTCGCTGCTGCACCATCAGCGCCACTGACTTATCACTGGCCACTTCATCCAGCTGTACTGGGCCCGTCGTACTGCCGATCCCGGTAGTACTCGTCCGACACAGTGCCTCAATTCTCACCCTACGAGCCAGGGCCCACTAGTGGAGCAATGGGTGTGCAGTGCCATCGCTGGAGGGCGATTCCACGAGAGATCGACATGGTTGATATTTTAGATTTGATTTTTTATAGTTTGTGTACATATCCCCCTGTAGGCAGCAAGTGAACTTAGTTTTTATGGGCGAAGCTCGTTAAGCTGTCACCCGAATGTCCTCTGTAGTAACCACCTCTCTCGGGTATGTGCCACAGGGGAGTTTAGTTCTTGGAATGTCTGCTAGATGGTGGTACTTGTACATAATGAATATATGATGAAAAGATGCGGGATGGTGGTACTTAGAGTGTTCACTAGATGGACGGACATACAGACAGATGCACAGATGGAGTGATGGACCCACGGTGGGACAGACGGACGGATGAGCGGACGGATGAACATATATGATGAAAAGATGTGAGATGGTGGTACTTGGAGTGTTAACTAGACAGATGGACATACAGACAGATGGACAGACACACGGACGGATGCACAAACGGATGCTTCGCCCCACTCATCATTCAGTCGATGGATATGCTGTGATTTTTTTATAGGCCCAATTCCAAGGTCTCAAAATGGCAATCGTTTTTTCACATGAAGGACATCAATTCTACCATTTGACTTAACTACCAAACTTCACCATTTAAAAAGTTAATTAGGTTCACTTCCCTAATTACCATTTCAAAGATTATCTTCAAACCTCATTTTGCTATACCACAATCACCCCTCATCATACTCTCCTCTTTCTTTCCCTTTTCCCCTTACTCCCGTGTGGAGTAGAAGGCCAGAAACCCGCTTTCAAGGCCGACCTCTCCTCCTTCTCATTAAGCACATTCTTCTTCTTCTTAAGATGCCTGCCACTATAGAAGAAGCAAATGTGAAAACAGCGAGAAAATAGCACCTTCTCCTGATTTTTTAAGAATATTGGACACGTTTCTTGAAACACCTTGTATAAAGAACAAGTGTTTAAAACCATGAACGTTCTCAAAGTGTTGTCATGCACTAAGTGGAGCAGTGACAAGGATTGCCTTCTCTGTTTTTATAAAAGCCTCATATGCATGTGACGCCTAGGTTACGACGCGATAACATACCACTCTGCAACACCAACTGCCTTAAAGTTGCTTGACATGATCGACCACCTAGGCTCCCACCTCTTTTTTGTATAATTCCTCAAGGCGACCATGAGCAACAGACACTCCATACACTCCACTATATGATTTGTCCAGTTCTGTCATGTTTCAGAACTGCTCTGCCACGAGAGAGCCTTACTCGCTTTGTGTGAGGCGGTCTAGCTGAAGAAATGGGCACACCGCTTTCTTGAACTCCGTTTCGTTGCTCCCTCTGAATATGTCCCGTCATGGGCAGTGGCAGCTTATAGATTGAGATATGTCCCTTGTAGAGGTTACTTAGCATGTGCCTACTGCACATATTCGAACACACTTCCTCAAACTACAGCATAAATGCCCCTATCCAAAATTCTTTACTTCTGTGCTTTAAGCAGCGGTCGGTCCATCTTTTTGGTATGCTGTTACTCTTCTTTTAAACACAAGCATTTTCAGAGCAAAAGCTTATGCGATACTTCTGGCCATTAACTCATTGGCTTTTGTGGCCAACAAACTGCTAGCCGGGTTGAAGAGTCTAAAGCACTTTGACCAGCGACCGCCTGGCAAATGTTTATTTTTGACACTATTTCATAGATGGCAGCACAGTATTTTGTGTTTGCATTTTGCTTGGTGCATTGTCTGCTAGATGGACATAGCAGTCTCTGTTGTTAAGCGGTTTGTCAGTGCTTTTTTTTTTAGCGACGAAGGGTGCATTATTCTGGCTTTTTGTAAACATGGCATCGTGGAAGAAGCGTGCAAAAAGCCCGCCTGTCGCAGCTTCACTGATGCGCCTAGAAGCCGCCGAATAGGCTCACTTTCCTTGCCACATCCTGACAAACAAAGTCAAGTAAAATCCTTTCAAGGGTTGGGTTAATTTTTAAGGCACAAGGCAAAAAAAGTCCGAGAGCTGATGAGAGTGTGAGAAATGTTAACTAGATCTTCACATGCCCGTGTGCATTGAACTTTTTTCACCCACGAAAATCATACTGAAGCACCTAACGCAGTCAAGCATTGTTAAGCGAATAAAGAATTAGACCCACTTAGGAAACATTTTTCAGTACCCTACCGCAAGCCACTACCATTTAAACCAGCAGTGCTCATAGGTAAAAATCTACTTTTCAAACATCAAGCGTTGTTCGCATTTTTAAACGACGTCCATAGTTTTCATGTGATACATAAAGGTCATCTGTCGAAAGACCTCTGAACAGAAGTTGCTGCTGCAGTGATTACATTAAACAATACACACGCCTCCAGGCGGATTCAAGGGAGTTTACAAGGCAGTGGTGCTAATGACATATACTTCCACCATACGTAGCTTTATTATCACAACCGCTTGCCGTTCATTCTTTCTGCGCATATTTCATGTCACTCATCATTTCAATACTTACATGCTTTACACACCTGAGCACGCGTAATGTTAAGGCCCTTGTACTGCCACTTACCATAATCATTTCCCACATCTCTGGTCCCATTAAACATCACACATCATTATTATCAACAAAGATTATGATAAAAAACAGGGTGTCATGGCCCTTAAAGGGGCACTGACACAAAATTTCACCACCGAGATAGCCTGTAGGGTTGATTCCCAGGGACATTCGTATATCATCTGCAAAATATCAACAGCAAATATAGCTGGGAAGGTATCTTAAAGGAATTTTGAAGTTTGGGCGAGCCCTCGCATCATGCCATTGATACCATTGACAGGGACCCCTAGGGGACCCCCTACTTCCCTCACGTCACCACGCTGCAATCAACAAAACAAGTTATGATGACATCAAAGCTGCCATTTTTCTTTTGATGTGTTTGTTACCCCAGTCTATATTTCTAGGCGGCTGGTTGCGAGTGCGTGGCCGTGGCGCAGGCTCAGAAATTTCTGTGTTTGGCGACATTGCAGTCCCGTTTCCTATTCGAAAGTAATTCTTGATGCGGACAGTGCAGAAGTGTGTCGCAGTTCTGTGTGCTGACGCGGTCAAAAGCTGCACACGCTAGGTGGCGACAGCTGCACCCAGTTTTCTGAGCTCTCTCAAACCGTAACTGAGACTGATTGACAATGAGGGGCCTGTAATTAATTATCTGTCTCGTGCTGCAGCAAACGATGTGTCGTGTCATGACAAACAGGCCCCCAGCAACACATTGCAGCAGAAAAACGTGAGGCCAAAGTTTTTGTGTCGGTACCCCTTTAATGAACGTGCTAAAGGCTTTACTGTAAAATTCTGAGCAAAAGCCCCTATCAAAGCAAGCCCTTTTTTCCTTTCTTCGGTAGATTTAAAGTATGTGCCAATAACTGATCAAGTGCCCCTCCTCTCCAACATTTTTTTTTACCCGTTCTACACTGTAGAATTTTGCAGCAGCAGTTTCTAGAAAACAGAGTTCTGAAAGCGTTTAGACATCTGGACAATTTCTTGGTACTTGGCAGTGGGGTGCCCCGGGATTGCACTCGGAAGTTTTTCACATATTGTCAGAACATTTAAAAAATGTTTTCCCGACTTGTCACAACGTAAAATCACAGAGGAATTCTCTTCAGTTGAGAATTAATGTGTAATCAGTAAAGCACTTCATTAGAAGCTTAAGCATTGTGGGATCTCGTATTGGCAATCGCCACCATGCTCTTGGAGTGAACAGGCACAGTAGACGCGGTCGGTACAAACCAAACGGCAACATACATTTATTTAACCACTTTTGAACAACGATATCGTCTGCCAAATTATTATGCATCAGTTGTAATTAACACACTAGGACATTTGTACACATTATTAGCATACACTCCATGACAAACACAATAAGTCACCCAAGGCGGCGTGGCCAACGCTTGACTTACCACGAGGGCCCCCGACGCACAGCCCGCGGTGCTACGCACCAGGAACCCACGCTAAAGACAACCGTTCGCGGCAACCACCACGCGCAGAAGAGACTTGCTCAACTCTACCCGCCACTAAGGCTTTCCTTCCACCAGGGGTCACCGCCGGCGCTATCACTGTACGAACCATGATGATGATAGTGGCGACCACCGCTCGCTTACACAACGCCACCTACCGCCCACGGTCATGATCCAAAATGTGGCTTTTGGGCGAGACAAGTGCGCCACTAACAGGGGGTGTCAGCACCCCCACAGCGTGCATTCGTAAAAGTTCTTCTGCTGGCTGCCATCTCGAACATTTGTTCGTGAGAAAGCTAGGGCTCCCCCTTCCCCTCTAAATCATGTCCAATTATCTTTCACTCTTGAGAGGGTTGGGGCATACTTGCTCAGGATTTTAGGGTCGTCAGTATTATGTGTTCAATCATTATCTTGACTTACTATCTCAAAGCGCATCGTCATAGCTTTGGCAGTGATAATCTGCTAATAATACCACGATAAATGTAGATGCATTTCTATTGTGTCACTGCTTCATTAACTGCATTCAGAGGCTTTTTTGGCGACTTTTCACATTTCTGACTGGGCGGCCCTAACTATGGCTCCTCTCTACCATGGCAACACACTCATCATAAGAGCATGCAAAACCATCTTAAGAGTTTTGCCCCCTGTCCTTTTTCCCTCAAGAGCAAACGTAATTTAAAACAAAGCGTCTAAGTTGTCAGCCTCCCCTGCTGAAGGCACTCACAGTAAATAAATTGTGGCGCTGTGTCTGGTGCGTAGATGCTTGCCTGTTCGCAAAAAGAAAAACGGGCACTGATGTTCTTTCTCTCTGGCCTCCAATTTCTCTCAAGAGCGGCGGCACATTCCGCTCGAACATTCTTCTTTTTGTGGCCACTTCTTGAGGGGGCTTCGCATTTTTACAACCCAATCCCGAGTGCTGTAGAACCAGTGAGATGTACCATTTGTGTTGCAGGAAATTGTTATCTGCTGTGCACCTGTATCCCTTATGTATACGTCGATTACTACAGAAGAAAAAAAAATGGCTGCTCCGGCCACAGAACAGGTTGTCATTAATCTGTGAAGGACAGTCGTGTTAGCTGGTTTTCATTCAAACTGCAAGTAGCTTTTTTCAGCTAATATAAATGCTACGCATGTTATTAGTTAAAGGTTTCTCGTTACTACCTAATAAAATAATATGTTTGGCTGAGCAGTTATGTCGTAGTCTCTGACAAAATTTACCGGGACTTGGGCTTATTTGGGAAAGTCGGCCTAATCTGAAACACTCTAGAAGTGTACTATGTCTCAAAAATCGATAAGTGGGATTAGATGCAGCATGTATGCGAATTCTCTTCAGGAGGGACGTACAGTGATGACCGTTGGTGGAGAGGACATTTTTTTCTCGAATGTAATGAACTATTTTTCGATTGTAGTAACTATCATGTGATTGTGAATGCAGGCAATGAAGTAAGTGTTCTTGCTTCCATGGTATAGCCTGCTATTTATAATATGGCTGATGGGTCTGAAAGGATTTCTTTCTTTTTTTATTTCGTTACTGATGTGACTTTCTTTTCTTTGTTTACAGTCAATAGCTACACTTTGGGCATTCCTCTCGCCATCGGCTTAGCTGTAATTTGCGGCGTTAAGAAGTTGTCACTCGATGCTGGAATGGCGACCATGTCGGGAGACACCCCCAAGTACCCGGAATACTGGTACTTCGCACAGAAGCATGACCTCTCCATCATGAAGGAGTAGTGGGCTTCCAAGCTGCCCTGCTGTTTTCTTTGTTTCCTCGTGTATACGATGCTGTGTGCACTGTTGTAGAATAAAGCCGATACGAACTCTATGGATTACAAGTGGCCTTTATGCCTTGAAAGATTGAAAAATACTTTTCAATAAAACACTAAACCGAATCAGCTTAAAAAATTTGTGCTCTGAGAAATGCTCGTCCACACTGTTTCTATGTAATAGCATAATTAATGCAAGCAATAACACTGAAAGTAATAACACTGTTAAAATGATTATAGCTGAAAAAGCATAAAATTGTGGAGAAAAAAAAGTTAACATAATTTTGACCATTATATTCCCTTTTAACAGTGCATACCTAAGTCTGACCTTATTGAAAATATAGTTTTTAGAGAACATTTGGTCACTTCTGACTCTTTTCATGGTCTCTGCAGTCAAAATTTATCTGGACTCACACTCATACTTCATAACATAACCTTGAAGTGCACCCTTTAGTTGCTTGTGCTGTTACAGCGTAGATCAGGGTAAGGGCTTAATACTCGGTAGACATGGTCACCCTTTGACAGTAGCGAGTTACTTGATTGAAATCTTGTGGTGAAAATTTACTGTATTTACTCTATTGTAACGAGACCACAAAAACTCGTTACATTTGAGTAAATACAGTACATGGCATCTGGCACCGCAGTACCTCTCAAATTTCCAAGGTTGCTATGGGATATTTAACACTGTTGATTAAATTAGAATACAGTGATACCTACTTGAGCGTACACCAATACTGACTCTGGCTCACTGACGTTTTGTGCCTCAATGTTTGCTTGAGGCGGTCTCATTAGGATAGAAAAAGCTTGGGGTGTGAAGAAGGTCAATATACTTCAAAAAGAAATTTAAACACGGTTTTCATGTCATCGGAATAATGGATGTTCATCCCGAGCATTGCATATAAATAACTTTATTGCACATATCGTAATTACACGAGGAGAGCTAAATGAGTCGAAGATTTATGCAGATGACGCAACAAACGTGGCCTGCTCTGGCAGCCTTCCATCTCACTTATATAACGTCTCAAAGAGCATCTCACAAAAGGCGCAAAAGCGCAAAGTAATGGTTAGTAGACACACTATGTACTTCAGTTTAAAATCTATGTAGGTAGGCCATTGTATAGTATCCACCAACAGGTTCGGCAAAATGGAAGAACGAGACAAGCCGATGACAGAATCTTCACAATCTTACCCTCTTCTCTCTCTCTCTCTCTCTCCCCCCCCCCCCCCCCCCCCATGCCTCGCTTGGAGCAAAGTTGCCCATTATATCATTTAAATAGGAAGCACAGTTTACCAGCAACAATAACAGTGGTGGTAACACTTCAGATGTGGCATAAGAATGCATAACGTGCACACCACAAGCTGCACAGTTGCAGCAAAACTCTGGCAATACATTGCAGGGCAGTGCTGAAAACTCCTAAAACACTCGAGAACAGATATTTCAAATGCAATACAAGTCACTCATCCACTAATGCATGCACGGCCACTTTTTTGAGCCTTTGTGGAGTTAAACCACATTGTCTGCAAAAACATGGCGGGGAGGAACAGATTTGTTGAAAATGGCAAATGCTTATCAGTTGTGTGCAGAATTAAAAGTTTGATGTGCACATGTGTGCAAAAACACTTGCTGTGTTCATTTGTACAATGTTCACCTATAAAACATTCTGCCTTTTTTACGCAGCTGCTTTTCCCATCCATCTTTGAACTGTATTTAACAATGTACACGGCAATCTAAAAAGTGAAGTTGCGAATTTGGAAAAAATGAAAGTGTGAGTTTAAAAAAAAAAGTGAATCTTAATATATATATATATATTTTATAGTACATGAAGCCGACAAGCAATAAAGGCAGCTTCCCAATGCTGTGTCTTTGCTAGCTCTTAATTTCATGTTGGTCTAACGTTGTATATAGACGAAGCAAAAATTATTAAACAACCCTCTAAGCTGAATCTGATGAGTTTTTATGCAGGAACGGTATGTAAAAATGAGGGATCATTAAAATTTAAAAAAAACTTTTTGCATTTGTCGACTGGTATTGCTTAATTGTCTGTGCATACAGGCAACAGGCACAGGTGGGACTACGAAGTTACAACAAACACTAACTTCCCAATGTTAAAAAAAAGAAATTTGTTTTTGTGATCAATCTCATGAAAACATCATCCTGCCATAGCGTATTTCTGTTACCTTTAGGTCACCCTGCACACAAAAGTTTGAACAAGACATGCCTAGACCCAAAAATTCACAATCTAAAAAATTATGCTCATACGAGGGGCAGCGGCAGATATCACTGTAGGTACAAACTTATTTATATCTTCACACAGATCTTAGGCCTGCTTCTTCGACAAATCTTCGAGGACCTATTGCTCAAGAAAAACTCAACTGGTAAGAAAATAACAGACCTACATGTTTCGCAATCTCATATCCATTATCATTTTAACCAGTAGGCACTTGCAGAGAAGACTGCCTAGACTCCAAAAAATCACAATTTGCCCAAAGGAGGAAAGAAATCCTGAAATGCGTCGACAGTTGTAAAGCGTATAAAAGTAACATGGTAAAAATATTCTTCGAAACCTATGGAGAGGTGTAAATAAATTCTAGCTCTGGCATCATTGCAACAAAACAACTTTCTCCTGCCTGTGAGAGAGTAATTGTGGCAAAGTCTTGCAGTAAGTGGCCACTAGAAATTATGATACCATAAGCATACTCCGTATGTATTTCTTCAAGTAGCACCTAAATGGGAATATCATTTTCTAAAATTGTTATGGGCACATATATATATTAACGTAGCACATTTAAACAAAGTATATGTAAAAGCCTTGACAACAATTGATATTTGTGCATTAGAAATTTCTTCATTAGCATACTTAGGGTAACAACATCCATAAGGGTCACTACGCATAAAATTTCAACAAGCCACTTAAAAATGGAATTATGACATTATGGAGATCATTCAGTGAGATATTTCAAGAGTAATTGTGGAAATTACATTTCGCACACTATTCATTGGTCCTTGTGTTAAATGTTTGGGAATCTGCGAATTCACCATTATACACTAGTAGTTTGACAATAATGCAGCAAAATTAGTTGTGCTATGTTCTCCACAACACATTCTTGTGTCACGGAGCAAGTTCATTACAATAGCTCGTGTGTCATCACACATTTCTTGCAATACATATATCAACTGCAGCAACAAGAACTCAAAATTTCTGGCAAAGCACTTTCTCGATGCGATCTAGCAGTATGTCCGCATGCTTCCTCTGGAAAGTGAGGGCAGGCCTGATGCGGAAGCTACGCTCTCCGCAGCCGCCGCAGTGGATTCCCTTGAGATGCATCTCTGTAATGAACTTGTTTCTGTCCTTTTCCGAGGGCAAGTCGACAGCGCAGAAGGTTCCCCGTCCACGGACGTTAAAGAATGTGTTGGGATGTCGCTTGCTGACCTCTTTGAGGCCCTTCTGCAAGTACTCGCCCGTCTCTCTAACATTATCAAGAAGCTTCTCGGTATTGACGACCTTGAGGACCTCTTCAATGAGCAGCAGTTTGGTCGGGTCGCCGACCCAAGTGTTGAAGATGCGGTATGACTCTTTGGGACGGACTTGCGACTTGTAGAAGTATCCACCAGTCAGCATTTTTTTGCTAAAGGTCACCACATCTGGAGAGTCGTCGAGACCCCAGTGCTGGTGTGCCCAGAACTTTCCAGTGGGTCCGCAGCCCGTCTGTACTTCATCACAGATGAAGAAAACGTTGTTCTTGGCTGCGAGAGCCCGAAGCCTTCGAAAGTAGTCGTCCGAAGCATGTCGATCTCCTCCTTCGGCCTGAATGGGCTCCACGACCAGACCGGCTACAGGAGCTCCCTTCTTGCGGTACTCGTGAAAGAGTTCTTCGACATGGGCTAGGCTCTTCTCGTCCTCCTTCTTGTTCTCAGACTGGAACTCTTCGAGCGGGTACTTGTACTCCGGGAAGTGCGCGATGGGCCATTCGAATGATGGCACGTCCAACTTGTGTATGGCCTTGGAATGAGTGGTGCTGAGCGCGCCGAAAGTGCGGCCGTGGAACGCCCCGTCGAAGGACAGCAGAGAGAGGCGCGGACTGCCGGGAGGCAAGTTGTACTTGCAAGATTGCAGTTCATCGGCCGTGGGCGGCTTTCCGCCGCGCTTCTGGGCAATGTGGCTGATGAAGACCGCCTTGTACGCGTTCTCGTTGGAACACGACCCGCACGCCATGGTCTGCACCTCCGTGAGGCCCGCGGGGGCGACGGAGAGGAGCGCGTTTTTCAGCCGCGACACCAGATCGGCGGGCGGCAGGACGCCCATCGCGGGCCGGTTCACGAACGTGGCAACGTTTCGGGGGTCGCTGACCGCGGCCACCATGGCCGGGTGGTTGTAGCCCAGCGGCAGCGACGAGATCTGCGTGTAGACGTCGAGGAAGGCGTTGCCGTCCACGTCCACCATGTAGTTGCCCGTCGACTTGGTGTAGTCGACGAAGAGCTGAACGGCGCCCGCATTCTGGATGGAGTCGAGTTCGCGTTTGAGCGCGTCCGATTTGGGACCCGGGAACGTGTGCGAGACGATGCAGGGCTCGGGAGGTTCGGCTGCTGACGAGGAGAGGTTTCGCGCGGCGAGCGCGGTGCAGGCCCGGAGCGACGAGGAAGCCGCAGCGCTGGCGCTTCGTAGCATCCTCCAATTGTATTCGGAGCTTCCGCGCGTCTCGCGGAGTTGCGGAGCGCGAGTGGCCTTATCGCGACGACCGTCGAGCGTTCTCTCTCTCTTCGGGCTTGCTTCTAGAGTTTCGGTGGTGCGGTCACCGCGGCTTCCCTGCTGCGGCGATAGCGGCAACACAAAGGGCGGCCTTGCTGGTTCTCCGCTAGCTCTTCGCGGCCACGGGGGCCGTTCCGCAGACGAGCATAGACCGCGCACTGCCGTCTTTCGCGCGAGCCGCGGCGTAGTACGTCGCCAAGGACGTCCGCTCGGTGGCGGCTTGGCGCTGCAGTCGGCAAAGGTCGCCGTCGGCGCGCTCCGTGAGTGGCGGCTGTAGTTTGTTTGCTCCTTCGTTCTTTTTTTTTTTTTTTCCATTATTGCGCGCACATCCACCACCACGGCCGTTTCAATCCACGTCGTTATGCGACGCTAGAGGCGAGATACGACCTCGAGCAGCAGGAGGCTATGCAATGTGTGAACTCGAGACACGTGGAGCATCCGCAAATGTGATAAATCGCCGCCGCTTGCGATGACCTCCAATGCGGGAACAAACCGTCGCTGGAGTGTTTCTGGCAAGGCACGCAGTATGCTGGGTGTTACAAAATGACCCCGAATGCGTTTTTCACACTGTTGGAGCGAGCATGAAAAAAAGAAGTGCGGAAATAAGTAGCCTTCTTAGTTTGCTTGCTACTCTGTTCTGGCTTTACCCACTAAGGAGTATGCAGTGTAATAATGAAATGCTAAATTTAACCTTGTTTTGGAAAGGGAGCTGATCAATGACTCAGCAGGGTAATCTCCCTGTGTCACACATTCGCAGAGGGCCCCACAGACGTTTCTGTCGCTAAATTCCAATGAAGCAGCCCCAAAGTATAAAGTGGAATTTCTAGTTTTTTAAATAAAATTTCAACACATTTTCTCCTTTGATTTTTGAAACGGCGACATGTTTGTAGGAAATGGTCGATATTTCGTTACAGCTAGAGCACAAATGGGATGGCACCAGTCCAGACCTGTTTAAGTTGAAATTAAGTGGTTGTATAAGGCATCGTAATTTTGTCATGGAGACTTCAGATTTCTTTCTTTTTTATTTTTCTCTTTCTATTTCTAATACTTTCTTCTTCTCTCCTTATCTATTCATTTCTCTTGCTCTTCCTTCTTTTCTTCACATTTTCCACTTTTCTCCCTCTCTCCCTATTTCGTGCCCGCTTCCCTTTCTTTTCTATTTTTATGTGTGGTTCCTGCGCTACGCCAAACGCACTAGTTTTTTTTTTTTTTGCTGATGATAATAAGTTGTCATCATCAATAATGAGCTGGGAAGAACGAGAGGAAGAAGGCTTCTCACTGGCGTGAACGCGCGCTCAATATGCTACACGTCGAGCATTATGTCACGCGACGGCAGCTTTCCACACGACAGCATACGACTAGTGTGCTATGGTGGTGCTGTCAGAGGCATATCCAAGGTTAATACTTCTACTCAATATTGAACTGCCCGAACCGCTACATTCAGCTGATTAATTGTGTGTGATTGAAAAAAAAATGCAGTCCATGTTTTTTTCCCGCAATCATATTCAAGTGATGTATTGCCAACTTGCACCAAACTTTCTCTTATTCAAAAGTTAATTTTGAATCAGGTATCTTAGGCCGCTTCTGTTGCTTGCTAATGCATCTGTTGACAGTGCCAGTCTCTTGAGTAGCGGGTATACCCTCGCAGCCTAAAAAAAAAAAAAAAAGAGAGAGACTACAGCACGGGAGTTTCCGAGTGCATTTCTGGGACGTCTTTATGCTTTCTCATTGTAGAGTACCAAGTATTTGAAATCGTTAAATACTTCTTCGAAACACATTTCACTTAAAATCCCTGAAACACAGTTCCTTCTACTGCGGTCTTCTACCATTAAAAAAAATGCAGTCTGTATCGATTTGAACCGCGCGTAAATTTGTGCAGGGCCTTCCAAAATACCTGCGTGGTCAATTTTTTTTTACGACGATGTAGCCTTCGCGTATGTGGCAGATGACTACACACAGGTGTGTCCATCCGGACAGCTATCGCTCTCACGGTCGTTCAGGTAACTGCTCGTGGGTTTATGCGTTCTATCAGGCACTAGACCGCCCGTAAACTAGCCGTAATTTACTATTAAAATACAAACAGAGCGAGCGGTAAAGAATGCTGAAACGCACCGCGACGCAGAAGGAATAGTATAGGAGTACACGTCGTCCTTGTCAGAACCGCCGCCACCTATAAGTTGCAGCGCGTGACGTCACAAAGGTATGCGTCGGCTGTACTGTCGCAACATGTGCGATCGACTCGAGTGATTAACTGAGGTGCAAAAGTTTGCAGTATTAGCTAGCCTTAATGATAGTCCATACAAAATCCCGCGCAAAGGTCGTGCTATCACGATACACTTTCGATTCACATTTGCCTTAAGCATTTGAACCACCTGCACTCCATAAGCACTTTGATTCACCTTTACATAATGTACTTGTCATGTTATTAAACTTTGACTTATCTCATAGGCCTGCACAGGGTGCCCCATTAGAGCAGAAGAACGGACATACTTGGATGTGGTTAAACGTGCTGATTGGTTGAAGGTAATGGCGACGCTGATAAATAAACCAGCGTATAGCCTTGACTTTAAGGAATCACCGACAGTTCCGACTGAGTGAGTGTTTGCAGTAGACGTGACCCCCTTCCGTGCCACCTCCGTGCGCACGGTTTATAACTCACTTTAATTCACAATTGATTCGTTTTGTGCACTAATTCTCACTTGCAATCATTTAGCGTTCCCTTACGACACAGTTGCGCACCTTGCGTACCATTAGCAAGCACGGTACCTAGACTCGTGGGCGATCGCACATACCAGCAAAAATATCTGAAACAATAGGCGGCGCTGCGATCGCAATAGGGCAGTGCTTCCAGGAAAACGGTCTATAACAGACAACCTAAATAAAAAATAAGAAAGGGCGAAAACAAATAGGACATATCGTCATTAAGAGTCTCCCGTTTGCACGTGGAGTGCGCCGATTTCTTCACGTGGCAGCAAGACCTAACCCCCAATCGATATTTGCAGCCGTATTGTCCCGGCGGCATCGATCGGGTTGGCTCGAGCCGGTAAAACTTAGCATAAATGCGCGGTCATCGCACTTGCCTCTGAAACCCGCGCTTGATTTGCTGGGCCAATCCGCGACCAACATAAAATCTTAAATTTACGATCATCTCGCTCTATAGCGGTGCCCCGAATTACGCGGTGGCGAAGCCATCACGCCGAACGAATGGGAGGCTCATATTACGAGGCCCGGACTTGAAGAACAGTTATGGGCATTCCAACGGGCCCGCGACGCAGCATATAGAGACTTCGTCTTTCTCTTCCGATGTGGGAGTGGCCCGCTTCGTGGTAAAGCCCATTCCGTGGGACCGTAATTAAGACGACGGAATTTCTTGGAATATTTGAACGTATAAGTTTTGGTCTGCCTGTCACACGATTCAGATGTACCCAGCCGAAGTTTAAGCACTTGCTGAACGCCTGCAGCCATCTTGAACTGGTGGCTGTGGTCATACTTGTGGACATTGTCGACCAAAAAGCAAATATTACGCATATCTGAGGCGCAACATCAATACGCAAGTATTAGACGACGTGTTATTTTACCAGAAAATACATATGTACGTAATTCTAAGGACCATAGTGTTTCTAGATTGATCTGGAAAAGCGACGCTATGCTCGAACGAAGGCCGGCAGAAGACTGTCGTCTTTAGAAGACATTTGCAGCGCGAAGCACACAGATAGGCGGCCAATTGTTCTTACATCCATCCATCCATCCACCTGAAGACAAAGGCAGGAAGAAATAACGTTGCTCGCCATGGTTGCGCTGTGGAGGGACAGATCGTGGGTTACATTTCTGGCCACGGAGCTGATAGCATTTATACGGTGGCAAAGTGCGAGAACGCCCTCGTATACCTGTAGATTTAGATAAATCTTCACCCGCCACGGTTGATATTGGATATACGGTGCCTGACTGCTCACCCCATGGACGTCGGCAAGACATTGTTCTTTTTTTTTTGGGGGGGGGGGGGGGTTGTAATACCTACCTTTCCTCTCTCCTTGTCTGGCTCCGTAATCATGAGTTGCAATTCGTCGCCTGAGTTACTCAGCAACGCAATGCCATCGGCGAAGCGCAGGTTACTAAGGTACTCTCCATTAACTCTTAACTCTTCCCGCTCTAGGCCTCTGAAAACCTCCTGTAAGCACGTGGTAAATAACATTGGGGAGACTGTATCCCCCTGCCTTACACCCTTCTTGATTGGTATTCTGTTGCTTTCTTTATGAAGCACTATGGAAGCCGTATACATATATACACAAGCTAAATTGAAAAAAACTAGCCTAGAAGTATGGGGTTGATCAAAAATTCCCAGGCCGCCATCCCATGTACTTCAACCCGACCTGGAAATGTTTGGCCTACCCTATACATCTTGACGAACTTGAAAAAGTTTCCCAGACCTCAAACATGCCGGATCTTGCAATAAAGTGTACTTGCTCGCTCGCTCACTCGGGAGATTCGAACCCCCAATTCACTCCCGCCCCCTCTGGCTACGCCCATGGTGGGACTCATGAACTTTCGCTGACCTGCGTCTACCCATCATTCCCATGCTAACCGCGTGGCAGCTCCTATAGGCAGTATAGCGTCAAATATTCCTCCAGTGTACCATTGTAAATTTCTATGGTCGCGAAGACGTGGCTGAACAGTCGTTGACGTCTCTGCTTGAGTACTGGCCGATGCATCCATTTAGCATGACGTCGCGGACGCAGCTTCCAACCGGGCTGGTACTCAATACATGGCGGCTTAGATGACGTCAGAGCAAGTAATCTGTATAGATAAGCACTCTCCCTATTTTCTAACCTGAACGTGGGAGCGTCGACCGGCGAATCTGTCTGTAAGCGCCGTATGACTCGGCACAGCTGCAGCGCCGAGCAATGTTCTGCAGCTGTTTCTATACTAGGCTGTTCCTGAAGCCGCACACCATCCCCGCTTCTTTTGAGCTCCGTTATCACCTCCCCCCCCACCCCCCACCTTTTTTTTTCTTTTTTCCCATAACGCTGGCATCAAGTTGCAAAAGTAAAGATTAAGTTCTTGCGCTTGAGATAGAGAGCATACACTCGGTGACTACACGGTTGCACGTACATGAGTTCATATCAACGTTTTGCCCCCTTTTTCTGCTGTTCACGGTGCACTTTCTTGAAACGAAAAA